AAGAGCAGCACGTCCTCTGTAAAGAAAAGTGGCAGAGCCAGTGGTTGGTAGTACACAGTCACAGCCCCCATACCAGGAAAAGGGCAGCACAGAAATACTTCAGGTTCCTTGCAGATCTTCCTACGTGCTGTTTTTTACCATCTGAGATTTATTCCTGATAGTTTTTACTTATCTTTTTGTAAGATGCAGTGCTTTTAAAGCCTAGTGCAGCAGTTTGTAAATGGGAATTTGCAAACTGGGGGGAGGGGGGGAGGAAGATCTTTTAAACAGTATCAACTACGCTCTCCTATTAAGGGAAAGAATAAAACTTTCCAAACCTCCCCCTTTGCCCGCTTCACCAAAAGCCTAAGGGAGTTGAGTTTGCAGCCTAATGGAAAACTAGAGAACTAAAAAGCATGATTGATTGTTGTGAGAAGAGACCCATGTGAAAAGGCTCCCTGGGAACAGAGTTATTCTGGAGAAGCAACTGAAATTACTTGTAGGCGTTTTGGTAGGTGAGCAGGAACATCATCAACTAGAGCAGGTTGCTCAGAGCCCATCCAGTTTGGCCTTGAGTGTTTTCAAGGATGGGGCTTCCACCACCCCTCTGGGCAGCCTGTGCCTATGTTTTCACCATTCTCTTGATAAAAAAAGTCTTTCTTGCCTGTAGTCTGAATCTGCCCATGTGCATAACTTGTCTGTGATGTTGACATAGATTCACCGTGTCTGGAGCCAGAAGGTGAAGTTGTAATTGTCTTCCCAAGCACACACAAAAGGCAGTTTACAGCTACAGGTGTACCTTGTTATTTTAAAAGTTCCCTTAGCAGCTGCAGTCCTATGAGATTAAACTGGGCTTGCTTGGATTTCCCTATGTGAACCTCATCAGCCTCATCTCTGCCCCTAGAACTGTGACTTTGGACTAGCCAAGGCTGATGAGAAGGGAAAGGGATGTGGGCTTCATTTTCCTCCTCAGTGTGTTGGAACTGCATCAGTGGAAACAGCTGGGAGGATCTGAAAGCTGTGGTGCGAGGTGCCACCACCAGTCCTTTTTCTCCCCATCAGGTAGACTGCACTGTACATCTTGGAAACTTTCTGAGCTTAGATCTGAGGTTATCAACAGATATCAGCATCAGATGCTGTTTTCTGCACAGTTTCTGCTTGTAAGAGAAGCATATTTTGCATTTGAGGTGGTGTTATGTTGTAAAGCTTCTTGGACACAGAAAAAGGAGTGGGACCTGTTGCAAAAGGAAAACCGGCTTCCCACATACCCTAGTTGTAGTACTAAAGGGGGCCTTTGGGTACCTGGGACCTGAGGAAAGATTCATCTCTGTAATTAAATTACAGCTATTTGCAGGCAGCTATGTAGAAAATCGAGTGACACCAGAGGCAAAATAAAGCTTAGCTTTTTTTTTTTTTTTTTTTCCCCTTTTGAAACCTCCCAACTCCTGCTATGTTGCTTTTTTGAGGTCTTGCTTGGCTTGTTCTATTTATGTTCTGGTCTGGAGCTTTCATGAGAAAACCAAATCTGACATTTCTCAACAAAAGTACAAACGGCTGGGGATGTGTTATATTTATCCGTTGTTTGTAGTGGCACCTCTCGTTCTGAGCAACGTAAAATAAATTATGTGTCTGAGGAGAAACACACAGCTGGTGAAAGGACTGGCCCTGAGGATTCAGAGGGGGAATATGGGAGAGAATTAAAAAAAATAAAAAAAATTAAAAAAAAAAGACCCTGACTGCGTAAATGAAACCCACCTTTTAAATGGGCATTTGTTTCTGGTCTGTTGGCATGAGTTTTGCAGAACTGAGCTTATGTGGGAGGGCAGGGTTGAGAGAGGATTAAGACTCTTGCAGATGAGCAGTCTCCCTTCTAACAGGGTGAAGGAAAAACATTCATGAGGGACTCAGTCCTCAGTATAATCTAAGGTGGAACATTACAGGTGTAAAGTGCTCCAGAAGAGGAGAGGAAGACTGGGAGGAAAAGGTGTCTAGTGGTGACAGGCCACTGGGGGCTTCAGAAGATGTGGGCTAAACAGTGATCCTAAAGGCCACAAGGCAAAGACGAATCAAGACCCACGAGCTGGAAAGGCAATCTCTGCTCTCCAGTTTCCATTTCGTCCCGTATCATCTGCCGTGTGCTCCCATCTCTGTCTCCCGGTGTTTCCCAGTTGTTGACTGAACTTTTCTTCTCAGAGACTGACTTTTCCACCCTCTTGGCAGGCCATGTGGACCCAGGGGAGGATGACCTGCAGACAGCCTTCAGGGAGACACAGGAGGAGGCTGGTCTGCAGGCCAGCCAGCTCACCCTCGTGGAGGGCTACAGGAAGGAGCTGCACTACCCTGTGCATGGCAAACCCAAGACCGTGGTTTACTGGCTGGCAGAAGTGAAGGACTGCAACACAGAAATCAAGCTGTCAGAGGAGCACCAAGCTTTCCAGTGGCTGAAGCTGGAGGATGCTTGCAAATTGGCAGAGTATGAGGACATGCAGGCAATGCTGAAAGAAGCGCATCAGTTTCTCTGTGCCCAAGAATAAGGGCTTCTGTGAAGGATAAGGGGAATTTCTGAAGGCAAATGGCCTGAGGTTTTTTTTCAGGTTTTGTTGGTTTGTTTTTAAGTTGCAGGAAGAACTGCATGGCTGCAGAAATGTAGATTTTTCAGTTAAATCTGTAGAAATTTGGTGAAGATACATGGAGCTTTTAAAGAGCTTGCGGTTTTTTCTCCCCTAGCTAACACAAAAAAAGCATGATGTGATTGAAACATGAGCCAGAGATGTCTGAATTGAAACCCAGATCTAACAAAGACTTCTTCTGTCCCTGTCTCATTTTCTTCCTTCTTTTTTTTTTTTTTTTTTATTTCTTTCCTCCCTTGAAGTGCTGAACAACCACAGGTCTTTTTGAAAAATCAAATGCTTGATGTATCTTGACTTGCTGATGTAGAGCTACAGAGTTGAGAAAATGAGCATATGGAGCATATTTTTAATAACAGAATTCTTACTGCAGAAGTCACACCCTGCATTTCAAATGAGGAAGCAATAGTTGTGTTCCCAACTCCATCACTGATGCTGTGATCACTTGTCAAATCATTTCAGGTCTTGTTTGTTTGTATCATGAATTTATGTACATCCCTAACGTACTGTTATGAGAACATTTTCCATCCAAAAAGTTAGTAAACAGTTGAGGTGCAGTATTTAAATGGTAAACCTGAAGTTCTTCTTTGTCCTCTTTCTTTTCATTTTTTGATCTCTAACAGACATCTTAGCCATACATTTTTCAGGGGGGTGAGGAAGGGAAATCTGTGTGGTTTAATATGTTTTCTGTACAGGATATTTAAGGATTATATGCAATCTTGTGTCTGTTTAATGCTATCCGTGTTTCTGTGGCTGCAGCCACTCATCTTTTGGTGCAGTATCCATTAATAATGTCAGTGACAGTATGACTGGAGTGCCTCGCTCATTACTCTGTTGTCTTCCTGTGGAGTAATTTATAAAATCCTTCCTATAGTGCATCTTTATATATATATATATAGATATATATACACATACATACACGCACAAAAAAGGATGCACTCTAAGGAGGCTTTTATACAGATATATATATATACACACATAAACAACTTCAATGCTCCTCCACTTTACAGTCAGGTTTTATTTTGATTATGAACACTGTTCAGAAGCATTTCACTCAGGTGGTCGCAGAAGTGGAAGCACACAGGCTGTGCAATTGGTCTGAGTGTTTCTCAGCTAACTTCAGAACCAGAGGATGAAGGTGAATCCCACTGCCACAGGGTCCAGCCCCATGGCAGAATCAGCTATTTTGGAGTCTTTCCTGATGTATGTTTGGCTAACATTTAAGACCCCTCCCGATGAAGACTCAGACCTTCAGTTCCTCTGTACACACCTTGCAACATTTGGTCTTTAGCATCTAATGTAGGTAAACTAGTGAGAAATAACAAAAAAGTAAAGACAGTGTGAGAGAAGAGTTAAAAGCCTGTGCTGCTTCAGTCTTCTTTTTTCATTATTGTTGGCGCTATCCTTTAATCAGCGCTGTGTAAACAATGGTGTTGCTGCCTTGGTGTTTATGAGCAAGATTAGCATATTAAGTACGAGTTACAGAGAGTCATTAACAAGTCATCGGTTCTGCCCATTCAGCAGTAATGAACACATTGCAGTTGTTGCTTTGGAAAGCAAGGAGCTGAACTCCAAGCCAGTATTTCCCTTTTAAAGGCACTGCTTACTCAGTGTTCCCAGAGTGTGTCCAGATTTTGGAGGGTGACCAGTGCTGTGCACTGTCAGGTGATGTGCTCCTTGGACAAAATTTCAAAGGCAGGCATCTTAACTGTGGTAGAAGAAGGTGTAAGGGATGTAACTGTCATAATTGGTGAGGCACTTCGTGTGCATTTTGAGATATTTATGTACAGAATGCATTCCCGCGATTTTTTTAAGTAAAATGATGCTTGTGCATTTGGAACCTTGACCCCAAAGTCTTTGAATTTGTTTTAAAGTGAAAACGTTGGAAAGTCATAATTTAATTCTGATTCTTTTCTGTGCTCACTGCTTACTGGTGAAGAAAGAGTTCTTCCTCTGCCCATGTCTAGTAGTAAATTATTTTTCCAAGGAGTGTCTGGGAAACCCTCCAGTAAATAATTATGGAATAATACGCCTGGGGAAGACATTTATTTCTGACCTCAACGATTTTCATGCTCTGAACCCAGTTGGGCTTTTATTTTCTTTCTTGAGAACAGTTAAGTTTTTGCTTGTAATAGTATCTCATGGCAGTAAATCTTTTACCAGGCTGTGGATCTATATTTAAAAAGAAAATTTTAAAAAAAGAAGAGACTTTAAATTCCCCAGAGGAACCTTATTTCTGCAATAGATTAAATAAAATCAAACTCTGAAGAAGTCCAAGCCACACTGAATTAGCAGAACAACCTAATTTAGGTAAAGTGAAAAGAACTGTTCTAGTAAGAGACATGAGGATATGGCTTTCTTTGCTCTACTGAACAAATACACTGACACAGCTCATACTTGTAATTTCCTGGTGTTAGTATTTCTTTGTGCAAGTAACTCTTGACTTATAACCATGATTACATCGTCTCAAAATCAGAGAGAAGAAAAGCATAAATTCGTGAATATTAGGAAAGCACTAAGGCACTGCAAGTTTCACCGAGGAGAGACCAGGACTGAGTGTGACAGTCACAGGTAATTACGCTCAAACAAGAAGTGTAAAGGCTGAAAACAGTGTCTTACTCCCGTCTAGAAAAAACCCCAAACTATATTGCTGCTCTGACGGGAGCAATACATCTGTTCATTGACTATTCCATGTGATTATAGGAGATCAGAGAGTGAAGCTGGTATAATGTGGCTCTATATGCAATATCCCCAACAAGCATGACTGACGTTACTTGCCAGTCTATTTAACAAAAGAGGATGTGTGTTTTTAATAAGGTTTAGTACATCCTAAATATGGAAGTATTTGGAGAGACACATGCTTTCTCAGCAGGGCTCTTGCAGACATGCAGAGAGGACAATGGAGTGCTGCCTTTTAAGTTAGAAAAATAGTTTGCTGTTACTTAATTGACAACTTAGTGGGGGTGAGTATTTTGGCAGATATGTGGAGGAGACTGTAATTTTTTGAGTTCTGAAAGTAGTGCTTATTAGTTATATTCTCACCCTGACAACATAACTGACAGGCTCCTGTGCCTGTTGGCAGCTAGTTTTATCTTAAGAAGAACTTAAGGATGATCAGGATTTCATTTTTTTCCCTTATACCTTGTCTTCAAAGATTTACTTTCTCATGTGCTCAGTAATTATAGAATTTTGGTTCCACGAGCAGTTGCAGCTGGTGAAAGTCTCAGCTTCATTTAGGTAAACCTGGGCTTTGTTATGGGTTAAAGCAGCTCTGGCATTGCTAAGCAGCATGTGCCTCTACAAACCAAACAATCTACACTGCTTGCTTCAACCCTGTGCTGTGCAAGGAGATTGTACTCAAGTGTTGAAAAATAAAAAACCCCAAACAGTGCTTACTGTCAAAACAGCAAGGGCAGGGAGGCTGTGGTGGCATTCTTCCTGGTGGGAAGAATGACACGGGGTGGAACAGCAGCTCTGTTACTTTGAAGCTAGTCCATTTGATAACTGACATTGTCAAAAAGAGGAGTGACAGTCCCGTCTTTCCACTCGATGAGGATCTCTCCGTGCCTCAGGGAAGGGGAGCGGGATGGTGGAAGGTATGGCTGGGGACCTCTTCGTAAGGGAGTCGGCTCCCGTAGGTCAGCTCTGCTGCTGTTGGCTGGAGAGCTCTTCAGGGCAGAGAGGATTTTCTTCTTCCTAGGAGGAGAGAGAAGAGAGTACGTAACTGCACCCGCCTGTCGCTTGGTGGCTTCACTGGTAATGCCACATCCTTCAGGGTGGTGTGAGCTGTGCGGGAGAGGAGGAGCTGACATCAGTGGCTGCATTTGGATAGCGAGTGGGATGGATAAATTGGGTGGCAGAGACGAGGTGTCACCAAGGGTGACATCTCTGGTGAGCAGACACATCTGCTGAGAGCGAGAGACTTCAGGTATGAGATGGAGAAGGGCAGTGCCAAGAGCAGGACTTTTTGTTTTGAAGTGCTCGAGTTTTGTTCTAAAAATGCTGTTCGTGGCAGACTGAATGAACCCGAAACTCACTTACTTGTTGTAGTGAACATTGAGTGTCAGTATTATTAATCCCAGTATGAATGCCAAGGGGCTGAGGACCAGCATTGCTGTCTTCCAGTTGGTGCCTGAAAGGGTATCAAAGAATGCATCAAGTGTTTGCTGGATGTATCCCTGCTCTTATGCAATAGCCACAATTGACACAAAAAAGCACCTGTGATGTCCCTGAAGACTGGCAGATACCGGTGCTTTGTCTACAAGATCAACCTCTTACAGCTGCTTTACACTGCACAGCATCCCTCTATTGAAAATCTCCACAAAAGGATTTCTTTTTTGCTGTGAAGACAATAACTATTTGTGCTTCTCCTCTCTGCAGCTTTCTGATGCAAAATAAGAAGTGCAGCAGTGGGGAAGGCAGCAGTGCTAGTAAGTAGGTATCTAATTCTTCTGATGAGCTGGAACAAAGCATTTGCAGGTTTTTACTAACTTTTTTACTCCAGGCCTGTGGAGATTTGTTTAATCTTTAAAAGGAGTCTTTCTGATAGGTAATTTGGTGCCCTTCTTCCTACTGAGCATCCTCGGCAGTACCCAGGGGGATGTGTCTCTGTTGTGATGGGAAGGATAGGGGCATTGATGAACCTGGTCTCTTCCTCCTCTTGCTAACCCCTGGACCTACCTGCAAGCCTGGCCCCGGAGTTTTTCCCTCGATTTCCATGCTTCTTAGAGTGATTCTGGGATACATCTAGGGGAAGAAGCAGAGCGATTCAGATTAGGAGCTTCCAGTTGGACCAGAGAAAACTTCAAATTCCTCCTGGGGCTGCACTGTAACCACAAATCCCCTTTGTATGCACCCAGAAGGGAAAAGGAAACTTTATTTTTCCTTAGTGTTCCCCAAACACAGGTATTTGTTGCTCCTGAAACATCTGACGGCTGTGCCTCCTCCAGGTTAAGGCTGTGGCTGCATCACTGAACTGCTCGCCAAGGGGAAACACCTCAGCATGTTTATGAAAGCACTCAGTAGTACACATGGAAGTTCTTCAGAAGTCCTCAGTGCACTGAAAACAGTTGAGTAACCTCAAACAGCTGCCCACACTTGCCTTCCTGCTGTTCTCACACACGCATTCAGAAAAGTGCTCACCCTCATTTGCTGGGAGCTGTGCCTGTTTGGTCCTCACTGGAGACACTGTGCTGTTCCATTTGTTAGCCAGAGGTGGGTCAGTCAAGATCACAGGAGGCTCTCTGTCCACGGCATCGATCTTTGATGAATCGATGGTTTTAGCTTGGAAGAAAATAAAGCAAAGATTTGTGTGATTGTCCTTTACTTTTTGTACAGGAACCTGGATATGCTCAGTGCCCAGCAAGGAAAGAAAGGGAACCCATTCCTGCTGTTTTGGTCGTCTCCCCTGCAAGGCAAACAGATGTAGTGCAGTAAGGATCACCTCCTCCTGTGCATCGGGGGCCTTCAGTTCTCACAGATTTTAAAGGTGAAAGGAACATCTCCTGACTGAATCAACAACCAAAGCAGAGCTTGTTTTCTGGTGGTAAATATGGTCTAAAAAGTATGAATGCAACACTAGCTGTTAAAGGATGACATGTGAGGAAGAGGCAAGGGGAAGAATCACAGCTATTACCAACACTGCAGATGAAAAAATGGGATCAAAAGGGTGCTAAGTAGTCCATACCCCTGGCAGGGCTCAGCAACTTCCTTTGCCCTCCAGTCCTACTACAGAAGTAGGGCATGTGGGGAAGCAACTGCTGCTAGAGGGGAGGCTGTGGGAATTCCTAGGGCAGCAATTCAACCCTATCCTGCACTGATAGGTGTGGCAAGATCAAGAAACCCATGTCTTCAGGGCTCCCTGCTGCCTCTCCGACCCCCATGCCTTCCTGTGGCATCCATGGTTGCACGGGTGTGATTTATTGAGTGAATAACTTGCCGAAGTAGAAGTTCCCTGTCAATGATCAACTGAAACTTGGATACGAAATGCCTGAACAAACACACAGGACTTTGATGTTGTTAGTGAGTGGTCAGAGGTTCCCTCCAGTAGACTGAACCATGGGATTGATAGGATAATTATTAGTTTGCATGAGACACACTAACTGGCACGACCTGATTCAAAGCCTGCTCAGTGTTTACCCTCACAGCCTTATTTGGGGATCCTGGCTCAGAGGCAGCCCTGGGCTGCCAGGAACAGTGCCTTGGGGAATGCAAATGCCCTTTTCACATGCCTTTTTCCCATATCTTAAATGTTCCACGCATTTCCTAGCCTATATTTAACTAGCCTGTTATGGTATCTAATTTGTATGGTCCTATCTAACTTCATGCTAAACAAAACACTACTTGTGACTACAGTGATAATTATGTGTTAACCTTCTAGTTGGCTAATTAAAAACCTTGTGAAAAAGGCCACTGTATCTTCACATGGCATCCCAAACAGCCAATGTATCTCTTTTTACAAAGAAGTAGATATAACCTCTTTGTATCAAAAGGTTATACTCATAAACCATCTGCTTATGCCAAACAGATTCATCACATTTTCTTTCAGTTCTACAAAGCTCAAAATCTCTTTGGGCCATCAACCTTAAGGTAAGGAAAATAATTTCCCCTCAGGAAGATTGGGAACCTCAAAACCTACACAGAGAGGACAAACAAACACAGAAAAGCCACTTCAAACACCAGCTCTTTTCTGGTACCTGGAGTGGGAGAAATGAGAGGAGGAGCGGATGAGGGGAGGAATTGAGTGTGATTTTTGGGTCTCGCTTTTGTGCAAAACTTTACAAGAAAAGTCCTGAAACCACCATTCTTTATAGAAGGGATTAAATGAAAGAGAGAAACAAACTGGACCATGAATCATCAGTGGAGAGCAGTGGGCTTCACTGAGCCTGTGACAAATGATGACAGTCACATCGTGGCAGAGTGACCATGCCTGTTGTCTTTTAGCCTTGTGTCCAACACCTAAAACTATGACAGGAGCAGGGTTTGTGCCCTTTTTGTGTCCCATCTAGGCAGATGCTAGTGAACACTCCTGAAGGGGAAAACTAGATTCTCTTCGCAAAGATTAAGGCCATGAAACTGATAATATAAACCAGATTTTTTATAATTTTTGATGTCATCTTATAGAATTTCTTTCTGCAAAGGGAGAGCAGCACACTGCCTCCCACTGCTTGCTGTGTTCACTAATCTCTTTGTGGTTACTTGAGTCACTAGGTTCACTTCTGCGGATCATGAGGGCACAGAATGAAGGTTAGAACTATGGTTTCATTAGTGAAAGGTGCATTGTTCAAGGGAGATAACTGTACCTTATATAAGGTACAATTCTGTTTTCAGATAACAATTTCTGATTTCAAATGTAGCTGCTCTTCAGTAATTCATACAAGTTAAAAGAGGTTTTCAACTGCCTCTAGTTGTCTTTTTACCAAAAATGAGCTCCCAAAGTACCAAAAGCCCTTGAAAGTCCTTGAAAGTCCCTTTGAAAGTCCAAAGTGCCAGACTTTGTGGGACTACCTTCGTTATTCTGGGCTTAGGAGGTTCAAGCAGTTTCAACTGTTACTGGCTAAGGGCACCTGAAATATTATGTGTGTTCTGAAATATTTTGCCTGTCATCAGAAATGCAGCTGGGCTTTAGAGACCTGATCCTTTAAGGTGGTGTGTGCTTTCTGGAAAACACTGAACAGCAGCTCCTGGGGAGCCAGTGGTACTGAACGGGGCTGAGCTGGAGCCATCTGGTATCTCTCCAGATGGGGCTGAACATGAGTTAGAATGATGGATGCAAGACCAGTGTTAGGTGGCTTCGGTGACATGTAAGTTAGATGTTATCTGATGCTAAATCTACCTCATCTTACTTTCATAGATCCACACACGTGTGTCTACAGCTTGTTGTGTTGGCTTGCTGGGCCTCCGAGCTGCTGTCTGGGCAGCAGCACAGATGGTTTCATCTGCTAAAGTCTTCCACCTGCTGAGTTTGTCCTTCTTCCTCGAGACAAAGACCTTGTGGCCTCCTTCCTGGGTGCTAAGGTGGAAGCCCAGACTCTGCAGAGTCAAGTGTCCCTTCTTGCTGCAGGACCACGCCTGGCGTTCCCAGTCTCCGCAGGGCTCCAGCTTGACCAGAGCCTTGTCCCGCGCCTTGTGGGCCGACAGGCACCGCTTCGTTTGGAGGCTGACAATGGTCCTGGTGTCGGGGTCCCAGCTCCACTGCTGCTGCTGGGAGTGTGCCTTGCAGCTGGCCAGGCTGATGCTGCTGGTGTCGTGGAGGGAGACACGAATGCACTTTTCCAGGTGGGTGTTCTGTATGAGGAAGCCTTGTCCTGCTGCTACTGCGGTACAATCAGAGCATGGTTTAGTATCTGTGCATCTCTGAGGTAAATGCCTCTTCTGAGCACCAGACATTGTAAATGGGGAACGGGAAAACATAACCCACCAGTCCTTTCCTGGGTGGATATGCCCAGATCAAACAGTTCCCCCAGCTTCCTAATTCCCCGGAATGGCACTTCTTTAAAATACAGTGTGCAAATGGCCCTGAGCAATGCTAGAGAAAAATAACAGGCTGTATAACTAATGGGGAAAAAGCTTACCATCTTTCCAACCTGAACAATTCTATGATTCTATGAAATATACCTGCCTATATATATTTAATTCAGTATTTCAACTGCTTTAATTAGGTACCCATCCTTCCCTCCCTCCAAAATAATTAGGTGGCTTGGTTTTTTTTTTTGCCCCTATCCGGGTCAAATCTTTCTTACAGAGAAGCAATTGATATTCCCCCAGTGCTATTCACCTGGGGCCAGCAAGGCCACCTTGGGCTACACTTTCCATTTAATGGCTTCTGGTGATGTTAAAGCAGTGTTAGGATAAAACCATATCCCATCAGAATTGTGTGAGTACTTGGCTGACACAGCTCATGTAAGCTTTGAAATTGTCTTGTATTTAGCACACCTGACTTTGGTCTGTGCACCCCAGGCACGAAGGTACCGCTTTTAACAACCCCTTTGTAAGAGAGAAACATTACAGCCATCCCACAACAACCACACAGTTCGAAGCAGTTTCTGTAGTTGTTTGTTGCTTTTGAGAACAACAGGTCCCAACACCTCAGATGACTTAGGATGGATATTGTCATGTTATCTGGATGACTAACCCTGTTTTCAGTATAAAATCATCAGGTGTGGCCTGTGAACATCCTGAGCAAAATGTTAAATGCCAAACCATTCATCACTGATGGGGTTGTACCTTCTGGTGTGTGTTTTAAGCCTAAGACAGAGGGATAGCAATAAGTTTCAAGTTTCTGAACGTTCTGTAAATCTTTTCATTACAATTAACACATGGTAACTCCCAGCTTTTGCAGTGACTTTTTTTCCCCCTGTTTTCCCCACATCAGAGTTATAAAAGCCCTGTCAGCAAACAGTGCAGAACGTAAAGACTAAGAGGACACTGAAAAGTGGTGTTAAACAAGAACGCTGATTTTATCTAAAGTATTTATGCAGAGCTTCCCCTCCCAGAGCAAAGAACAATACTTTTGTCTGATAGCAAGTATTTGGCTCAGTATCTGAAAAAATAAGTGACAGTATAAACAGAAGCCAGTACACAATACCAAGGGTATAAACAATAGCTTAAAAGAGCTCTCATGTTTTTCTCTCAGGAAATTCTGGGGTTCTGCTATATTAATAGCGCCTTGGGGGCTTTTAAATCAGAAACAGATCAGGGCTTTCTGCTTGTCCTGAATGCCTGGGGAGAGGCAGCCAGAAACCACAGTACTACTGCACCAGCTCTGAGATGAGGATGGATGTGTCTGCGCTGGTATATTGAGTTTCATGGATCTGTGATAGCCACTGATCCAGACAATTCCTGCCAAGCCAATATGCCTAAATGGAAATGAAATTTCTGGGCTATCTGTGGACAGCTCATGAGTCCTGTTCTCTTTAACCCTTATTAAGTGCTGGGTATAAGTAAGATATTTAATGCACTTTGGACTTGAGTTTCTGCCAGTTTCGAAAGGCAGGAGAAATATCTCATATATAACCTCCCATAATCTGTAGAAAATTGAAATGGGTGAACACAATCCTGCCACTCCCTCACACCTCCTTTTTTTCCCTAGGATCTGAAATCCAGAATTCTCTAGATTTCCGTCTTTGCTTAACTGTGAGAAACCCATTTCCAAAATAATGATTTGAGAGCTGTCTAAAAAAATGTAACAGGGGAATATGAAAGCTGTTCTGGGTCAGATAAAACATTTCCTGAGCCCAGGATCCTGTATCCAGCACTTGCATTTGCTAATATAGGAAGAGGGTAAGAATCAGACAAGTGAAGATCTCACTCAAGACAGCAAGGATGCCAGTGCCCTCTTCCAAAAATCACAGAATCACGGGATTGTCAGGGTTGGAAGGGACCTCTGCCAAGGCAGGGTCACCTGGAGTAGGGGACACAGGAACATGTCCAAGTGGGTTCTGAATGTCTGCAGAGAGGGAGATTGCATGACCTCCCTGGGCAACCTGTTCCAGTGGTCTGTATGAACTTATTCAGAGAGCATCACTGGGCATTTGTGCTTAAAATGGTTTTTCTAATGTACACTACACTGTATATTTCAACTCAGAAGGCAAAAAAATCCAGGAGTTTGTTGTTCCATCAGTATTATGAGCTCCTTCTGCAGTTCCACACAGTCAACATCAGGTTTTATTATTCTCAGTAGTTTTGTGGCATCAGCAAACTTAATTACTTCATTATTCACCCCTTTTGATCTTTGTCAGCACCTGCTGATACCTTCACTCTGCTGTCAGCATTGTCAACTTATTCCAGCTCTTTGTTCCAACCTGTGGGCTAAGCCTCTCTTTTACTCCATGAGGATGGAGTTTCTTAAGGGCCTTGGTGGAAAAATTTTACCAAAAAGCCTTTTGCAAACACAAGCAGAAAGTCTTGGTCAGCTCACCCCATTTATGAGCTCACTGATGCCCTCATGGATGCCAGACATCCCTGTTAAAAAAGCTGCGTTGACTTTTCTCATACTTCTCTGTACGTCTGTAAATACCCTGCTTTGCTTCCACTGACTTTCCTGGTGCCAAAATCAAGCCTTGTGACTTTGTGACCTCCCCAGGCTGTGCAAGGATGCCTCTTGAGAAGGACATCATTGCTGTAATGCGGCCCTTTGGGGCTGAGGTTGCTTTAAATAAGAGTTTACACACTCCTTCGAAGTATAAAAAATGTCGTCTTTAGTTTCCTGTAACTTAGTGTGAATGCCATCTGGGCTGGTCATTTGCCACAGGATTATTTATGACTTTTTTCCCTCCTGAAACTTCCTCTGTTGCCAATTTTTTGGGTAACACTCTTCAAACTGCAGAGAGTGACTGCCTGACCATTCTGAAGTGAGCACCAGACACTGGAGCCAATAATCCATTCAGGCTTTCTCCACTGGCCTACTTTTGGTTGCCCTTCTTGCATTTATGTCATCTGTTTCTTAACCTCCTTACCCCCACCAAGTTCCTACTTCAGATATATTTGAAAATTTCTGTTGGCAGCTTTTATGTGCTCTCTATAGGTTCCTCATCTTTCTCCTCTGTTTTTTATTACAGGTTTTATTATTAAACATGCCAGAATCTCTGCTGGTTTTTTTTTTTTTTATTTTGCCCTGCTTGGCAATGACTGTCCATTTGAAAGTTTTGTGTGTTTTTATTACATTTTAGAGAGTGTTGCTGTTTAACCCACCCAGCAGATAAGTGTTTCGCTCTCTGTGTACATCCCCTGGAGTTTTATGTTCCACTCTAAAGAACAAGCTCCACACAATTAAAGCATGTTTACTTTGAGATGCACATCAGGCACTAAGAATCTTTACTCAGGAGGCAAGATGACATTCTTTTTCCCAACACTGTCAAGTCACAGTGTCCAGTGGTCCGGCAGCCCTAACATTTTAGGGATGTTAACCTGGAGCAACCAGAGCATCCAGTGTACTCCCTGAGGATGGGACTCAGCATTTCTGGAAAATGCCAGCCTTGCCCACTGAGCCCAAGTAGATGCCTGCTTTGAGCTGCTCATACTTGAACACTTAGGCCTCTTCATATTTTTAGGTACAAAATAAACAATTTCTACCAAGGCTCTTGATGCCAGCTCGTTTGTCCTATGATAGTGCCTCTCTGTCTGGTTACAAGATAGAAAAAGCAAGCAAATATAGCCCCCTGCTTCTCTGCAGCATGGCCACCCTTGGGACATGCTGTTCCATGTAGGATTAGGAGCAAAAGCCATGCAATGTTCCTAATTAAGGTAATGCCACCCGTAAAGCCTTGGTTACCAGTAATCCCAGTGTGGCTGGGAAAGTTTCTGCTGTTTCTAGGCTTTTCTGCCGTTTCTGTGGTGGCTTCACAGAAGACATTTGCAAATTGTTTGGGGTGGGTTGTCCTCTCTAAAGGCTCTGTGGAGGGAACCAAGTCAGAGCTGAGCAAGCACAGGTTACCAAAACACTCCAGGTCACCCAGAAATCTCAGCATTGGCTTTGGCCTCTTTTGTCCTCCCTGGTGGGGTTCCTAACACTTGGAAAAATCTTTTAATTAGCTCAAATTCTCTTTGCCACGTGAGTGTTTCCCTTACAGAGATGTGTGCTGAGTCACAGTCAGGAATTTACCTTTTCTTGCGTCTACCTGTCCCCAAAGAGAGGTATCCATCTGGAGCAGCCATGGCACCTCTCTTAGGGACTACTTTGTGGGGACTTCTCACAGCCCAGAAGACCTCCCAAGTGTGTCTCTTTTTGGGTACCACTGTGTGACAGCAGGTCATCCTGAGTGACCCAGGCAGTGGCAACAGTGGCTGGGAGAAATGTCTCCAGGCTGTCTGCTGCTTCCACCCAAAATGAGCACAGCCCTAGGGGGTACCTGCACCATGGCTGAGAAACCTTGCACCCAGCAGGACCACGGCCTGACTTACTGGTGAGATAACCCAGAGAGTTTCCTGCTCAGGTTAATCTGCCTCCACTCTTCTCCATTGCAGCGGATCTTATCTTCTCCACAGAGCATACACCAATGGAGACTGACCCACACAATTCTCATGTACATCACGTGTGTTTATCTCCTTGCATAACTCCCCTGAATATCAGCTCTCCCAGGGTTTAGGCTCCCCTTGCCTTCTTGGACTATTGCAGCGGTTCAAGGAGCATCAGATGGGAAGAGGCTTTGGAAGACTCACATCCTCTCAAGCTGCCCTGACAGCAATGCCAGTCTCTGCCCTAGCTCTAAAAAGAGCTGTGGGGGACTCCAGTTCCTACCAGAAATAGCCCCAGCCCCAAAGAAGTAAAATTTAACCAGAAAATGTGGGGAAGACCATCTTTAGCTGCACAACGTGGTGATGGGAACAACACCACTCTATACACTGGTACTAATTACGATGCTGCTGGTACTACTTCCTTCAGGCAGAGATACAAATGAGGTGATGCAGTAACAGAAGAGGGAAACTCCCAGGTAAGGCAGGAGGATTCCTGGTGCAGGTGTTGGCATCTCTCTGTTTGATCACTTGTAGGAACTTTGGATCAAACTGAGGCAATCGGTTTGAGCTGCTGTCAGGTGTGGACAAACAGGGCCCTGAGTAAGTGAGTAGGAGCAGAGTTGAATGTAGCCCCATCAGCAAATCCTTCACATGGAAACATCTTCTTCCATCCAAAGGAGAAAACCCCTGCCTACTTCCTGGGCAGACTCCAGCCCAGAGCTATGTGGGGAAAAAAAATAAAAGCAGCTGGAAGGCACTTGTTGTCCTAAGTATGGTGAATGTGTTTGGTCAAAGACAGGAAATCCAGATGTGCACAGGGGAGTGGTGAAATTGGCACTCTGTTTTCTGCTTTTATAACCAACACCAGCATGACAAGTGGTGAGATAAGGTGGGTTTTTCTTTTTTGAAAACTGGCTGTTGACTGGAACCATTTGTTTTATTTTGCCCCAGTCCTCCCTCAGCCTTCAACTGTGCTTGCTTGGATGTAAAGTTTATAGACACAAATGTCCATGGCAGTTCAGTGCATGTGGCCAATCCCCCTACGGGGAGGATGTTGCTGGATGGAGCCTGGTGAGTCACTGCTGGAGAGCAAATAGGCTTCTGCCCATCGGGCCCAGCAGAACAGGCAGAACTGGAGCTGGGTGAGCACAGCAGCTGTAGGAAAATAAGAAATGTTTGGGGCATGGAAAAAAAATCTATAAATGATGGGAAGCTGGGGAGGTTGTAGAAGTCACCACAAAGCTGGGGAAAACCAGTCCCTGGGAGGATATGGTGAGTGTCTATAAAATCCAGAGAGGTCTGGAAAGGATGGACAGGGCCTGCCTGGTCAAGGACTGATCCCAGATGGGATGGGGTGTGCCAAGGGAAGGCTCACAGTGTGCAGGAGGTGGTTCTGTACCCAGGAGTTGTGCATCCTTGCTGCCAGGGAGAGTCCGCACAAGCCAGGGGAGGAGATCTGATAGCTACTGAAGAGTTAAACACAACATGGTCAGGAAATCCCCCAAGCTGAAAATAGTTGGAGAATGGAAAATTAAAGGGGAAGGAGAAGTGTCCTGTAAGCTTGGCTTTTCTGCCTGTTCAATGCAAAATTTCTTAGGGCTGTCTTTTGAGGTTGGGACATGAGAGATCAGGGAGCAGCCAGCACTGCCATGGGCTTGAGGTAGAGGAGAGTGGCTCCTAAGATATGGGATCAGGCCAAAATGCCAAGCAGAGCCACCACCAGCCTCACGCTTAGTGCATGAGGATCCAGAGTAGGTGTTGAATGCAGTCTTTTTTCAGCAGTTTTCTTTCTGTCTGTATAGGCGCAAATCCTTCTGGTGCCCAACTTCCCTCCACCCATCCACCCTCACCTCACAGAGTCACCATTAGGTTTGACTTTGTAAGAAAACACTTCAGCTCCCTCCCCATACTGTCTAAAGAAAACAGCTCCCAGGACTAGGTAACTCCACGATTTTCAGTTTCCAGCAGGAAAAAAAACACCTCAAAGGTCTGCTGAGAGCGAGCACCTCCAACCTGCCAGCAGCCTTAAAACTCAGCAGCCCCAGGCAGGAGGGAATGGGGAGAGGCTGCTACAGGGAGAGATCAGCCCCAGGCAAGAACACACTTGTGCTCTGCTCTTTGAGCTTCTTTGGGCATTGCCAGGTATTGGGAAGATAAATTCCTTTCTGGTAAAACAGTTGTGGTTTTATAAGTGATCTGGCTGAAAAGCAGCAGTTGATCACGTGTTTCACCAAAACCATTACACTGGAAAGGAAAAGAAATGTCCTGTGATCCTCCATACTTTATGAATAAAACACAGCCATGAGGCTCCTGTTGTGTGGCAACAGAAAAAAATGACTTTCTTCTGACACTGGACAAGATCTACATTGGAGGGAGAGAAAGAGCAAGACCCTAAAGGCTGTTCTGCTTTCCTAGATCTCCTCTAACTTTTAAAGGATGCACATGTATGATCGCCCCGTAATAGTACAGTGACATACCCTCAGCCTGGGGTTTTACAAAATGTAAGACTCAGTTCACTGGATTTACTCTAATTGGAAATTTTTGGCATGCAAAAAACAGCAGAAGTCAAACCTGTAGGAGCACAAACCTGTCCTTTGACCTGGGTGCAGAGGAAAATGGGGGCTGACTGCTCAGAGCATCCCGGGGAACACACACACAGAGATTGTGGAGCAGGGAATGGAAAGCAGCTGGTCAGATCTGCCAGTCTGAGGTTTGTCTTTAAGGCATAAACATCCCAGCTTTGCAGCCCAACTAGTTGTAGTCCTCTGGTCAAGGGATTTTGAACAGCTCTGAGCAGGTAACTTGTAAAACTGCAGGGCTGTTTTCCTCTCAGGTTCAGGGTCTGAAAGAGCCTTGAAGCACTTCAGGGGTTTATTTCAATGAGTCCCTTTCAGCTGACATCTCAGGCATAATAAATAGGGAAGTGCTTAGGGGAGTGTTCCCATTTCTAAAGAAAACAGATCTGCCCCGTGCCCGTGATGGGGTGGGTGAGACCGCGGGCAGCACCACACCCAGGTAGCTGCTCCTGGGCAGCGCCACTCCAGCTCTGCAAGATGACACTCCACAGGACTTGTGCTTTTCTCATCTACCCATGCATGTCAGAACCAAGGCTGCTTGGGTGCAAAATACTCCCGTGTACGATACAGGGTTTAAGCAACCTCAGAAAGCAGCTGAATGCTAACATGAGCCACTACTGGGTCTGTTCCACAGAGGTGAGCAGTGCAGACACTGCAGCTTCCCAGCACATCCCACTCCCAGACCCCCACCACAGGAACAGGACAATTACATTGAGGTCCTGCTGCCCTTCCCACCACTCTCTCCCATACTGCCAGCATGTTCTGAGCCCACTCACTTCTCCTGGGAAGAAGCAGCTGGGTCAGGGAGCAACACAGTGCTTAGGAGGTCACTTACTGCCTGCCCCCATCCCAGAGCAGGTTCATTCATCCACCACTCTTAGCACTTTAAAAGCACTTTATAAAAGTGGCTGGCATGATGCCATGGTGTCCCTGGCCCAGCCATCCCAGCACCTTGCCAGCCTGTCCCTCACTCTTCTGTAGCCTTGTGTTTAATCCCATTTTAGATGCTGCCCTGAAATGTGCCTCGAGGCACTTGTTTTACAGCTAGCGGGTTCAGAGCTTTGCAGCCCAAGCAACAGTTCAGCAGAAAAGCAGGTTAAAACCTGTGAGGCAGTTCTCTTCCTACTTTACAGCTACCCCAAAGGAGGAGAAACTTACCCTCAAGCCAAGGAAGAAGACAAATACAGCCCAGGCTCAGCCTGAAAAGCTCCATGGTCTGCCAGCACAGCGGGAGAGAAGGAGCCCCCAAAGCCTCTTGCCCACGAACAGTGCCAGGTAGCTCACTTTTCCCCCTTTCTCTGTCATTCACAGCAGAAAAACCTGCTGGGAAGGGAAGAACTCTTTTGTCTCAGCACTGGAGGCTTGGCAGCCGGCTTATCACCAAAGGATCAGCTTGGAGACACGGTCCCGCTCAGCAGTTATCCCTTAGGAGAAATCATATGACGAGCCAGGATGGGGGGGGACACTGGACCGAGATGCTCGTGGCCTCCAAGCTCGGCTCCTTAGCAGCAGCAGTTGCTCCCAGCAATGACAGGCGCATGCTAAGCAGGCTGGCAGGCTGCCTTCCCAGGGCTGGGAGCAGAGGAGGATGCAGGGCTCGCCTGGCAAGGAAAAGCAAAGTTCGGCAGGAATGCCCCGAGGGGCGTGGGATGTGCCTGCTGAAACCTTGCAATTGGTTTGTGCTGTCATGGGGTCCTTTTGTCTCTAGAGAGAGAATTATCCCCGCCAAGATGATTTTAGGACCAGTTCATGGCAGAAATAAAACCTCACAAACCATCTGTGGGGGTCCTGGAGAAAGGAGGGTGATGGAAGGGGCAGTTGAGATCCTGGATGGGGATCAGGGTCCTGCTGTGGGTCTGCTCTGATGGTCACCCCGAGGGCTGCTTGGGTTGAGTTTGTCTTTGTTTCACTCGGCTCTGCATGGTGGGGAAACCACACATCCTTCCCGGAGGAAAAGCAGCAAAGGCTGACAGGTGAAACAGCAGTGAGAGTTGTAATTTTGCTAGTGAGATACTCCCATTCAGCCACATCCTTTCCTTTCTGCCCCATATGTTCACTGGAGTCATTCTCAGCTGGGGTTATTCTCACCCTTTAAGTGTCCTAAAAACACTTAAAAATGTTTCACTTTTACTTTTGGTGTCCAGTCCTTGATGGCACCAATGTTGCATCTCCCAGCTCTGCCTGTGAGGCCAGGAGTCACCTGGAGGGCTGGGAGCTGCTTCCTTTAGAGGCCAAGCTGTCAAACTAAACAGCACATTATTGGCATCTATGCAAGGGTATAGGCTTAGACCACAGGCTTGCAATGGTGCAACTCTCTCTTTGCCCAGCCCTGGGATGATGGCTCCCAGCTTTCCCACTATCAGAAGGGGGATCTGGCTTCAAAGTAGTTTGGCTTCTTCACAGGTGCATGTGCATGTAGCAAGGGATATCCTGTGATCAATCAAAGGGGAAGGCTGGGGTAAATTCTTGTCCTGGTGGGGTTGCTCTTGCCTGACTGTAGCACTGTGCTCAAGAAAAATAACACAGGACTGGTTTCTTTATGATTACTAGTTTCTTTTCCCTGCGGGAATGGGTCAAGCTGCACTAAATACCAGGCATTTTTAATTTTAAAAGGCGCAGATGTTAAACTCTGCACCACATGACTGGGACTGAAAATGCAAACACTCTCCAGTGGGTTGTTGGGTGAGTGTGTCTCTCCCACAGGAGAAGGAGGGGAGGAAACAGCTCAGGTTGAAGATGTCTCTCCACTGGATGGAGAACACTGAAGCAAATATCCTGGTGAAAAGGTCGCTGTCTTTTCTACCATGTATCCTGCTACTGCTTTCACCCTGAGAGCTGGCACACCTCCTGTTTCTCCTCTTGACCCTTCTGTCCATTTCATACACAGGAAACAGAGGCATGTAGAGGTTGTGATCTGCCCAAAGCCATGAAGTCTGTCTCTTAGCTCCTAAAGCCCAGATTTATTCCAATCCACTCAGTTGCAGTTGCCTTTAAACACCCAGCAAGCCTTTCCTTGTATGTGCCCAGGGGTGTCCTCCTCCTGCCAGACGGGGGCCCTCAGGGATTTTGGTTGTAGTGTTGGCATGGGAAGGACCATGAAGAGTCAGGCTACAGGTGTAACCCCAGGCCTGAATCCACCAGAGTCCTACAGAGGGAAAACTGAGAAAAGAGTGTGTATCATGCTTATCTGCATGATGAGCAACTCAGATTTTGCCCTGGGCAAGGCCCTGTCACCTCCTTGAGGAGAATGATCACAATCTCATTCCCACTGCTTCCCTTCTTTCTGCAGATATTTAATCTTTGCCAGGACCTTCCTCTTTATTCTGAGTGCCCTCTTTTTCTGTTGGGTACTGTGCAAAATCTTCAGGAAATCCATTTTTTTTTTTTCTCCAGAGTGTGATTTGAGCTTTTTGAAGGGTATCTTGTTGCTTCAAATAACCTCTCCCACCTGCTGTTAAGCCATATTCACTTCCTTGCCCTAAGAGAAGGAAGGAATGGAAGGAAAAGTCTTCAGCTTATCTTCTGTGTCATTAATGAAGATATTAAATACCACTGGTCCCACTACAGACCCCTGAGGAATCCAATGACAAATCTTTTTTTATGGCTTTGGCAATCCCCTAATGAGATACAGGGTGCTCAGACTGCCACTGAACACCCTCTTCACACCAGACTGAGGAGAGCCCAAACCAGAAACCAATGCCCTATATAAGCCCTGGAGAAAAGTGGTCAGTCTAAAAGCAACCTGCCAGCACAGACCGAGAGGAACCAGTTGAACATCAGACACTGAGGTTTTTAGGGTTTCAGGGCACCATTTTGGCTTTATGTCTTTTATATGCAAGAAAGTATTTGCATATGCAATTGCTCTATAGTCTTAGAGCCCATTCTTCCCCAGTGCACTGCCTTGCTTGTGGCATGGTGCAGCCTCATGCATAGGGAGGCTTTTTTCAAATAGTTTCCACAGCCTTTCCTGGGCTGTCCCTAGGAGACAGCAAACTGTTTTCCAGCTGTGGTCTCTCCCACGTGGAGCAGGATAATCCTGTAATTGCTGGCTCTTGGTCATGTAATTTCCATATCAGTTAGTCCTTGCCAACTAAGTCCCATGGAACAGCCTTGTTCTTGTCTCCATCATCAGTTTGGTGGGCGCATTGCTTTTTCTCATTGTTTTGCAGCTCGTGGTGAATTTAATCAGAGTGAAGTGATGATCAGGTGAAACTTCATCTCCTGATGGTACTAACCACCACATCTTCAGACACAGGGGTCATTCACCAGACACCCAAGTGCAGCCCTGTCTGGTATGGGACAGGCGCAGCTTTCGAGCACACAGCAGCTTGGGGAGCAAGCAGAGACGAGCATTTCGTCAGCCTAAAACCTTTGGGGTGCTCAGGAACAGCATGGCCGTCTCGTAGGTTTTCACTCCAGCCTGGGAGCCAGCAAGGTACTTTATGACACCGAGGACACCAGGAAGCAGCTTAAAATCCCAGCTCAATCCTGTACCCTTAGTGTCACCCCAGAACAGAAATGGCAAAACTTGCACTGGGTCTGCAGGGTGAGAAGGACTGGGGTTCTGAGGGGCTCCCTGTTTGTATGGTATTTTAGGAGTGAAATCTTCCTCTCTCCGTGGGTAATGTCCTTCAGGCAAGGTGCAAATGCTCATTAGCTTTCTTTTCAGCTCTCTGCCTATTGCAGGTTTTCTCTGCAGTGAAACCTTTGTTCGCAGAGAAACACTTGCCAGCAAATGTTTACAAAAATAACCACAGTAAAGATCCTGTATCCCCAAGAAGGGATGTAGAAGGAAAAGGGTATTTTTACATACCAAAATTCTCCCATGGCTGGGTAGTGGAGCTGGTCTGGGATAAAGCAACAGCTCCAGAGATGCCTGGGTTAGATGTGTCCTTGCAGATGTGCTCCTGGTCCCATGTGAGCAGAAGGCTGAGATCATGGGGATCCCAGAGCAGATGTGCTCAGTCTGCCTGAGAGCCTCATCTCCCACTGAGCATGCATCAGTGCCACAAGAAGTCCCACAGGGGCAGGCATGAGATGAATTGTCCAGGACCCCTTACCCTGGCAGGCAGTTGCCTTAACCAATGCAGAGCATGAAGCGTCCCTCAAGGACCTAACTGGTCCTGCCCTCATGGTGGGTCTTTGGGTCATTGTCACAAGAAAACAGTGATTAAGAGTAGTTCCCCTTCAAGAACTGAGCTTCTTCATCTCTCTGCTATTGCAGGCAGCTCCCAGGGGCCCCCTCTCCAAGCAGAGCCTTCAGCTGAGCCTGGATTAAGGTGGGAGAAAGCCCAACTGAGACCCAAGTCAATTCCTGGCTTCTTTCTTCACCTGACACCAGCTCAGCCCCCTGACTTCTTTCAAAGCAGACCGATGACAGCATCCTTTTATTCTCTCTTTTCCTGTATTTCCACTTTCCCCCAGTCTGCTCACAGGGACCTTTTCTCCCCTCGCCTGGGCTTTGCTAATTGCTCTCTGCTCAGTTTGTTTCTCCAACAGGGGAAGGCACCTCAAAAAACTCCCTGGAGTTTCTCACGAGCACTGATCCTGACACAAGAGAGTCTGATGACCTCAGTGCTACCCCGGGAATGCCTGATGACCAGTCACCCCACAGCCCCGGGACAAGTCTGGCAATGGTCTCTGGGACTCAGCCTGAGCCACCAGCTCAGCAGATGGAGCTCCTTCCCAAGGATGTGGGCAGAGCGGCACTCAGTGTGCAGCGGGATGCCGTGGCCACTAGCAGCAGCACATGGACACTGTGTGCAGGCTCAGGAGTCAGAGAGAGCTCTGAAATAGGGAAAAAGTTGATTTGGCAATGTTTTTACTGCTATCTTCGGAAGGAGGAGTTTGTCTGTTCAAGAGGACAGGAGTGGATCTTCCACTGCCTGCTCATATAGCAATTAAGAATGAAAGATCTGTGCAGTAAACTCTATTTCTTTCCCTGTATTGAGGGACTGGAGTTCTCTGGATGTGGAAAAAACCCAGGTAACATTTTTTCTCTATACCTCAGCTGGATTTGCAAGACTCCGGGGGGTTTATGGCCCTGTCAGGCTTGCACAGGGTAATCAGCTTTGCAGCAGCACCCTGTGCAGGTAGAAGCCAGCAGAGTCTGTGCAACCACCTTCACACTGAGGTGAGCTAAAAACCCTCTGCCACGGAGAGCATGGCAGAGCCCCCCAAATCAGGCTTCCAGAAATAGGCCTGCTCAGAGCGGTCTGGTGGGTGTGAGCTGGTGCGGGTCTCGCTGGAGCTCTCAGGAATTGCTAAAGGTCCAGAGCTGTGGTGAGAGGTGCACTCAGCACTGTGGCTGATATTGTCCCTTCAGGACAATATTTCCAGGTGGAGCAGGGTCCTGGACCACTCCAAGAGAGGGAGTCTGTGTCCCTCCTCTCCACCCGCTTGTGTTGCTCCAGGTGCTCCGTAAGTGCTGGGTGCTGGTGGCAGGGACACTGGTGCCCTTGCACACACCACATGGACTGCAGAGTGTCCTTGGCAATGTCACCTCACCCTCTGCATCCATCCCCCAGCCACTTCCACCTCGTGTTAAGCCTTGTTGGCTTTGTAGCTAATCTGTGGCAGCTCATGAGATAACCCTGGCTCTCTCTCCTTGGCTGCACTGATAGCAGGCACCTCTTTCCTCACGTCATCTCTATGCACAGGAAAAAAGGTGAGCAAATCTCCCCCGTGCCCCTTTTAGCAATAAATCCCCCTTATGACGCCCATGTTTGCCATGCTTCTGTGAGAAATGACAGCTGATGGGAACTGCTTTCTACTTTGTGCTTGTTTTCTGTTAAAAAGGTCCATTTTGAACAGTCTAAAAGGGCTTGGTAAATGATTAATCAGTTCTTGCAGAGTTTGACAGGGCAATAGTTTGTTTATGACTTATTATGTTTAGCTACCTATGGTGCTTTCTGCTAAGACACATTGTATATGCTCCCTATGAGCACCCAAGAGTGACTCTTAAGCATTTGATAACCTGTAATAAAAAGAATTTCAACGTAGAAAGCTATACCTTTATTTAAAGAAAGTATTGTCTCCTGATGGGTTCCTTGATTAAGTGATGGTCTCCCTGCACCAGCAGGCAGGTAAACAGCTTGGATTGGTGAAAAACAGGTTTCAGGAATCACACAGCTGGAACCTGAACTGAGGCCTTCTGCTACATATGCCAAGATATCAGGGGGGTTGCTGGGGACAGATGTGATGTAGAGGAAGGAGACTCTGAGGGAAGGTGCACTGAGGGATTTAGGTGTGTAGCTGCCCTTCAAGCTGGCTGTTATGTCTTTCATCTCTTGAAACCCTTGAAGCTTCTGTTTACCTATAAGAGGGTCTAAAGTCCTGGCTCATTTTCTGCATGTCACGGTGCTGGATATGTCAATGTTTAATCTGTGCGTGCTTAGATCCTTGGGGTGAGGAATCCTGGCTTCTTTCAGCCTGGAGGACCCACTGTGCCAGATCCATACCAGATTAGCACCCAATCAACCAGCCCAAATATAACACAACAGTGCCTGTACCCCTGGGACATCTGGCTTCCAGGGCACCACGGGAGCATTGGTGCCATCCTTGCTTGGAGTCACTTGCACTCTGTGTGAGTTAATAACTGGAACAGAGCGGCTTTGCAAGGACTGGTTAAATAATCATGGGTTATGAACACTGTGATGCCATAACCCCGTGAATGGAGCAAGGGTAGGGCTGGATCTGGGATCTGGGTCACCTCTGTGCACCCTTTGTCAAGAGTCCTTCTCATCCCCCTTGGGCAGCAGTCAGGCTGCCAGCTAGGTCTGCAGATGTTTAATGCTCTCATGAGCCTAAGTCCTGAAGGATGTGGAAGGGCAGCTTCAGAAATTCCTTTTCCCTGGTGGGATCTATCCTGGGAATCCCAGCTTCATGCTGGGCTGCCTCCAGATGTGCCAGTGCCTGCACTCCCGTCTGACCACCCATACCTCACCTCTTCTCTGTGAGGGGCAGGGTTGGGATACCAACTTGGCATCCCACGACATAACAGGAGTTAGGAAAACCCAAAAGACCCTGGGGACAGGACAGCTTGGCTCGGGAGTCCTGGCTCCCTCATCTACCATTTTTCTGCCACTTATCTTCTGTTCCTGGGGAAATCAAGGGATTTAAAGCAACTATCGGGGAGTGAAATCCAAGTGAAAGCTTGGAAACTTTCTTCATGTCCATTATTCTTTTAGGGATTTTTGAGTCATGATGTCCCTGTGTTTTGGGCTTTTTTTTTTATGTGTTAATATTAACAAAAGAAACCCAAAAACAAACAAACAAACAAACACAAAACCAAAACCAAACCAAAAAAAAAAAAAAGGAAAGGGGATAGCCTATCTTTCTGTTCCTTGTTTTTTCACCCTGGAAAATGGTGCAGCTCATTTTAAAGACTTCTGTCTCCAGCCTGGTTGGGAGGGAGAAAGGAGGAAGGAAGAAGAGGAGGAAAACTCCAAGGTCGGCAACTGAGGACCGACTCAGCACATAAAAATCCCTTCACAGTGAAAAGGTTGTTTTGCCAAAACACAAGGGTTTCAGTGTAAACCACCTCAGCTGGATTCAAAGCTGTGTCAGGAGCCAGGCCAGCACAGGAGAGGCTGCCAGGTTTGAGCACTTTGGAGCTGCCAGAGTGCCCCGAGCACATGTAACCCAGCCTGCTCCCCAAACCCACCCCTGTCCTGGATCACCATCTTTTTGGGGCATCAGTAACCTCTGTTCTCTCACTTCCCTACCCCAGCCAGGGCTTGCCTGGGAACACTTTTTATCCACTCCAGCTCTTTTTCTCAGCAAAACCTCACTCACCCCAGGAGTGCATTACAAAAACTAGCCAGGCAGCTAATTTGGGCAATCGGGCATCTGCTGTGATTGATCCCAAAGGTGGTGACCTCTGGCATTTTTAATGGCTCTCTGGGTGGCTTATCATCTCTGTATACTTAGATACTGATGTCATGGGTGACATGGGTAAATACACCCAGCACGTATTAATGGGCACCGCTCAGAGAAGCAAGCTGGCTCTTTTCCCCCATCTCCATATAGGCTGCTCCTGCAAATTTGCATCCTGACAGATTCACACAGGCCTCAGGATGGGGCCAGGGGGGCTGCGAGCCCAGCTGCACAGACTGCATTGCCTTGAGCCTCTGGCCTCAGTTTCACCTGCCTGTGTTTTTGTTGGCAGTGGATGCTCAGCTGTGCTTGGTGATGCTTGATATAGCTGGAACATGTTTCACCTTCTGTGCATATCTCAACAAAACAAGGTTTTAATATAGTCCTGGTCTTTCAACAACCTCAATTTAACCTAAGCTCTGTACTAAAATATCTTCCATCCCCATTGCACTGTAGTGTCTTGCCTGGCATAAGCCCAGGAGCTACAGAATTATAATAAATTAGGACAACTGAATTACAATGAAAAACAGAGACAGAGATGCAGGGAAACATTCCCTTTTGCCCCTGCCAGGGCAAGAGGGGCTGTCCTGCAGTGATGGCTCTGAGACAGGTATCAGGGCAGGCTCTGCCCAGGTGCCCCAGAGAAACACATCCCCACAAATCCACATCTCCATGCAGCTCAGGAAAGGAACAAAGTGCAGGCACATAAAACATCACTGGCCAGCTGCATCCTCAGAGGGTGGTGGGGAACAGCAGGTGAGGCTGGAGACCTCAGTGCAGCCTTTCTCTGCCTGTGTTTGAAGCAGAGAAGTTATGGATAGGAGGGGAAATCCAGCAGGGCTTATAATTACTGTAAAAACAGATCAGCTTGTGAAGTCCAGCCTGTATGCTCAGGTACCAGGTACTTCCTCTGGCCCCATTCTCCTCCAGGCTCTGGTCTGACTTTCATCCCTTCCTCCTTGCTCTGTGGGATGAAGTGAGGTTGCAGCCAAGAGAGGGTCATGGGAATCCTGGCACAGATCCACTCCAAGAAAAGCTCAGCCCAGCTGCCAGTGAACAGGCTGCCACTGGAGAGTAAAGTGAGCCAGAGCCACAGGGTTGCAGACAGAGCAGAGGAGCTGCGGCCCTCAGCAAGATTTAATTGGGTTTTTTGGTGTTTATGGCCCTTTGTTTCATTAAATAACATTGCAGATATGAGTGGCCAAGCTTTGGAAAGGAGGCTGTGAACACCTGCATGCATCATCCTGGATTTTCTGTCCACCAGTGGGAGTGAAAGAATTCAGCAGCAAAGTTTCTGCAAAGCAATCATGGACAGTCGGGTTATTCACCGCCTGGGAAAACATGGAAATGCCCCAAAGGGTACTGCCAAAGAAAGGCCTAAAAATGTCACACCTGTGAAGCAGAAGCCCTCCAAGGAGCTGAGGCCCATGCTCGGGGCCATCTTGCTGGGCCTCATGCTGTTCATCGCCGCGGTGGTGGCCTGGTGCTACTACACGGTGTCCCTGCGGAAGGCGGAGCGGCTCAAGACGGAGCTGATGGACCTGCGGGCGGACGGCTTCGTCATCAGGAACCAGCACGGGGAGGTGGTGTTCCGGCTGGCCTTCCGCTCGGGCAGCCTGGACCTGGAGTCGTGCTCCAAGGAGGGCGAGATCCTGAGCTGCACGCGGTCGAGCCGGGGGCCGCTCAACTTCTTCATCCAGACGGTGAAGCCCAAGGACACGGTGATGTGCTACCGCGTGCGCTGGGAGGAGCTGGCGGCCGGCCCGGCGGTGGAGCACACCATGTTCTGGGAGGACGCCCACTGGTACGGGGGCTCGGAGATGAGCACCCAGCACTGGCCCATCCGCCTGGCCGGCTACCAGGAGCCCGTGCCCTACGTGACCAGCGACGTCTACTCCTTCCGCGACAGCTTCGGCGGCATCCTGGAGCGCTACTGGCTCTCCTCCAAGGCGGCGGCCGTCAAGATCAACGACTCCGTGCCCTTCCACCTGGGCTTCAACGCCACTCAGCGCGCCCTCTTCTTCCAGGCCCGCTACAAGGACTCTCCCTACAAGCCCCCGCCGGGGCAGCCGCCCTTCCCCGAGCTCAGCTACCGCGTCTGCGTGGGCTCCGACGTCACCTCCATCCACAAGTACATGGTGCGCAGGTACTTCAACAAGCCCTCCAAGATCCCCGCTGAGAATGCCTTCCGGTACCCCATCTGGTCCACCTGGGCACTCTACAAGAAAGACATTGACCAGGATAAAATTCTGCAGTTTGCGAGAAACATTAAGAAGTACCATTTTAATTGCAGCCACATAGAGATCGATGACATGTACACCCAAGCCTATGGGGACTTTGACTTTGACCCTGTCAAGTTCCCCAACGTGACAGAGATGTTTGCAAAATTGAGGGAAGATGGGTTCAAGGTCACTCTGTGGATCCATCCCTTCATACACACAGATTCCTCCAATTTTGGTGTGGGGATTGAGCGTCAGCTGTTCATCAAGGAGCCCTCAGGGCAGCTGCCAGCCATGGTGGAGTGGTGGAATGGCATTGGGGCCATCCTGGACTTCACCAACCCAGCAGCCCGGGACTGGTTCCAGAGCCACCTGCGCCAGCTCCGGCACAAGTACGGCATCTCGTCCTTCAAGTTTGATGCGGGCGAGACCAGCTACCTGCCCAAGCAGTTCAGCACCTTCCGCCCGCTCTCGGACCCCAGCATCTGGTCCCGGCGCTACACGGAGATGGCCATCCCCTTCTACGAGCTGGCCGAGGTGCGGGTGGGCTACCAGTCCCAGAACATCTCCTGCTTCTTCCGCATCATCGACCGCGACTCCGTCTGGGGCTACGAGCTGGGCCTCAAGTCCCTCATCCCCACGGTGCTCACCATCAGCATGCTGGGGTACCCATTTGTACTGCCAGATATGATCGGAGGGAACTTCCTCCCCAACAAGACAGAGGGGGCGGTGGAGATCCCCGACCGGGAGCTGTACGTGCGGTGGCTGGAGCTGTCGGCCTTCATGCCCTCCATGCAGTTCTCCATCCCGCCCTGGCTCTACGACAAGGAGGTGGTGGAGATTGCCCAGAAGTTCACGGAGCTCCACGAGTCGCTGGTGGCCCCGCTGCTGCTGGAGCTGGCCGGGGAGGTCACCGACACGGGCGACCCCATCATCCGGCCCATCTGGTGGATCTCGCCCCGCGACGAGGCCACTCACAGGATCGACTCCCAGTTCCTCATCGGGGACACCCTCATGGTGGCCCCTGTCCTGGAGATGGGCAAGCAGGAGCGGGATGTCTACCTGCCAGCGGGCAAGTGGCGCAGCTACAAGGGGGAGCTGTTTGAGAAGACGCCAGTGCTGCTCACCGACTATCCCGTTGACCTGGACGAAGTTGCCTATTTCCTCTGGGTGTCCTAACATGGTCCTCATCAGTGTGCAATGGACTCAGTGATTAATTAACCAACAGCTTTAATGATCTGGGACTTTGTGTAGTTTTTTAAGTAGAAGTACTTCCTTATGAAATTTGAAGATAACACTGAGACTTCTGTTTTTTGTGGCAAGTGGTGCTCAATAACTAATTAATATATATTGCATGGGTGTCTTTGTTATTGCAGTGTGACAAGTGCAATGTATAGAAACACAGTCTCTGCTCATAATCTCTTCCCACCAAGAAATGCCATGCACGCTTGTTGTTTATAAAGGAAATTACATGGACTCCTTTGTTACCCAGTTTCACAGATGATCCCCTGAGGTATTTAAAATTTCATGTGCTTAGTGAAGGAGGCAGCTGCAGCAAATTACTTTTTTTTTTTACAAAAAGCAGTCTGTGGTTATCCTGGAGAGGAAGGCACCCAAACTGCAGCCTGCACAACAGATGGGAGCTGATGCAGGAGTGAAGAGGAGTTTACACTGTCGCATGGGCTGAGCTATCTGAGCAAGGGGAATAAAGCCACAGCAATGGCTAATGCTGTGGCAACTGTTTCACCCCTTTCATGAATCACTGAGAATCAGGTCCATGGTGTGAATTCAAGTAAACCTGCAAAATGTGGTGAAATCTCATGGTAGTAAAGACTAAAACATAGTACCAAGTCAGGGTTTAGATTTGATAGGATCCCTGTGTGTTTTGGGACCATGTTTAGAGCCAAGGGGTGCACAATCTGTCAGGTCCTAAGAGTGAACTTGGCCTCCTCAGAGAGTTCAGACAACAAACCAGCCCGAGTGCCCTGCTGCCTCAGTTTCCCCATTGAAAATGTTCTCCCATCTTGTTCTAATGGACATCCCTGTCTATAAACCTGTACCCTGTCTGTACAAGGGACTTCTCCTGAGTGAAGGTGTGTCAGCAGCTCCTGATGGCTTGTGGTAGGCAAGAGTCTGTGAAATGCTCTCCACTCTTGTCCAACCTTCCCTGCTGTTTTTAAGCAAACAGAAGTTTAAGGGTGACATGTCTGAGCAGTTTAGGAGAGTCCAGGAGTCTCTGGGCTGCAATGTGCCTTCCCAAAATGAGAGACAGATCCCTTTGCTGACCCTGGCATGCTGCTTGTAGGTAACTGGGAGGTAAAGCTTTTGTGTGGCCCCAACACAGGAGAAAGCTCCCTTCTTTAGGGGTTTTTCCAAGTGCTGATCCATACAAAAGGTAAACAGGGGATGGAGAACATCGCAGTCCCTCCAGACCTAGTTTGGTGTCCAGGTGAAGCCACCCCAAAACTGGCTCAGACTCCTGTTACCCATCAGTGGGTCTGTTGTACCAAGAGGACTCTAGATGCCCCTGAAAGAAGCTCAAGCTGCAGTAATGTGAAAAGGATGTGAAAGGGAAGGCAATGCTCAGTCTGCCGGTTGTGTTCAGGGTTAACAGGATATTTCTGAATCCTTACCATGGGCTTTCTTCTACTCCAGGATAGTAGTTTCCAAGGATGCAGCTCCCCCCGAGGTTGAGAAAGTGTTTCTGAATGCTTCTCTGTTGCCGCTTTGAAGCCCCAAGGGGTCCCTGACATATGAGATTGGGGGAACCAGGAGGTCCTAAAGGGGTCCAGCAAAATTCCGCTGGCTGTTGTTGCTGCACAAAAAAAAAAGCTTTCTGCAAAGCCGATGCCCTCAATGCTGAGGAGAGGTGGGAGAGCCAGACTCCAGCCCCCTCATATGGCACCTCTGCCTGTGTAATCAGTGTGTTCTGTATGCACACATAGCTCTGCCACCCACCTGCATCGCATCACAGACTGGGTGGAAAAAAATAGGCATCACTGAGACTTTTTGCAAACTCTGGGGGTGACATGAGGTGCCTGGTACCATGGCTGCAAAAATGCCTCCTCCATCCCTTTCCAATCTTTCCCCCACTGCCTTTCCCTGCCGCCCAGCCATGACACAGGGAGCCAAGGGGGATGGGTGCTGGAAGCATCCTGCGAGCAGCTGGCAACACAGCCACCTCTCCACATGCTCCTGCAGCACCAGGACTGTGTGCTGACAGAGGAACATCTTGTTTGCCTTGCTAAGCTTCAGTCCCGATTGGTTTTTTGCACTTCCAGTGCTGAGCAAGAGCTCTTTGCTGGAGGTGCTGGTGACAATGCGACTCTGCCCCAGCACATGGCTCACCCCAGTTTGCCTATTTTTTGGCAGGGGCAGTTTATTGCTCTTGATCTCTGATGATCACTGAGATAAAAACCACCGAGCCCTCCGGAAAAAATAATAAAATAAATTAAAATCTCTGTTTTTCTCTACTTGGCCTCTGGGATTTTGCACCAGCCCAGACCATCTTTCATGGCTTTCTTGGCACAAGGCATCTACAGGCTGGCAGCTCCCACTGGGCTCTGGACGAGCTGAGACTGAGAAGGTTGTTTTTTTTCCTGAGCTGCCAGCCTGGCCACATGCCCTAAAGGTGTTTGCTTGCTGTCAGTCTGTCCTTTTACCATGGTCCTCCCTGGCCCTGGGATGTGCCTGCTGGTTGTTTTTTTCTTACTTTTTATTAAAAGCTGTTATTCTGAGCAATGTGGACATGATCACTCTCACGGGTCAGCACCCACTCCTCTGCTGTCACCCACAGGCACCTCCTTGAAATCCAGTTATGAATTGGGCTTTTGCTGCAGCCCCAGTGGGGTTGGGACTTTGCCATAAGCACTCCCCCCTGTGCAATACACAGCTGTGGATGTGTTTTCAAGCACTGCCACTTAGCTGGGGCGCAGCACAGAGCTGTTCCCACTCGCTGTCCCCACATCCCTGACACCCTCTCTACACACAGCGCCAGCTTTTGGGAGGATGCAAACCAAACCCAGACCTAAAGCACTGATTCCAAGGAGGACCTCTGCATTATTGAGGATCTGCTGCAAGGCTTTGAGTGCTGCAAGTTGCCAAGGTCTTCAGCAGGGCCAGCTTCACTCTCCATGTAATCATCAGCCAAGTGTATGGATAACACTTGCATTCAAGGAAGAAGTCAAAGGAACAGAATTGGGAAAATGTCTTTTATTGCAGAAGGAGTGAAGTTCTTCTCATTCCTCAAGCCATGCTGAATGTGTTGGCCAGGGCTACTGATGCCTGATGGCACAAGGCAGCTGCGCTTTGTGCAGTAACAATGGAAAGGGAAGGAAAAACATTATGTGGGGCAAAGGGAGTAGTGTGGGGCAAAGCAGGCTCCTAAATGAGCTTCACATGCTCCATTCCTGGCACTCCATAGCCACAAATATCTACTCCATCCCAATCTTTGCTGTCAGTGCCATCTGGAAAAGGGAACCCCTGGGGACAGTGGGGACAGCCAGGGCCCAAAAGACCTTCTGGGGTGCTCAAGAGAAGCTGAATGCAGGCTCCTCTTCTTCATTTCCTGCAAACAGTCCCAAAGTATGTGTCCTCTGAGAATAGTGTGGACTACCAAACCCCCCAAGAGTCAGGGTTGATGAGCCCTTTTTGGGTGGATATCAGTAAAATCACGGGCACGACAGTATGGTCCCCACCCCTGGGGTTGATACACCACTGGGGTTTGCCTGGATGTGGTCTTTTTCAGGCCATCCCTAAGGCACAGCTATTTTTCTTGCTGTCAGGACCTAAGGCAGGGCAAACCTTGATCCAGTGGGATTCATCTGCCACCACTGCAAACACAACAGTGGGGTGACTGCCAGCTCCTCCTTTTAGATCATATACCAAGCTGCAGGCTGCCAGCTTTAATTAAACCAACAAAATCTCAACCCTGATTTCAGGGAAGACAAGGGTAAAAAAAGCCCCAAATACCCCTGAACCACCAGCTGAACCAACTTCGTAAAGATAAAAATAGTTAAACTTCTTTTTGTTTTCCAAAATTTTATCTCAATCAAGGTGATTCATGTTACAGTTCATAACAATTAAGAATTAGAAAAGTGGTTAAAAACAGACCCACCAACATTACAGTCTGACGTAGGACAGCATGTGCAAACACAAGCACCCAGGAAAACCCGATACACAACAGTGCAAGCTTCAGAATTCCATCACGTGAGCATCACACGTGGAAAGGCGAATCCAACTCCCAAAACGGTTTTGGGACTTTCCCTTGGCTGAGACAAAGCTAAATCCTGCTTTGGCCAGTGACTCATGGTGTAAATCAGAGAAGTCCCCCTAGCAGCAGTTCTCAAGGTGTCTGTGCAGAGCTTGTGGTCTGCAAGGTCCGAGAGATCCTCAAGTCCTGCAGTGCTACAGCACAGTGTTAGATATAGTGGTTTTGGTAAAAAGCTGGATGGAAAGGGCACCTTGAAGCCTGTGAGACACCTGAAGGCTGCACTGCTGAGTCTATCCCCAACACCACCCTTTACATCCTCTCAGCAGATTTACCCTTCTCCTTGCTGGAGTCCTGAATAGCCATACAGCATTTAGAAAAATAAGGGTGCTGTATATTATTACCCATTTATGATATAGTTAAATAAAAAGAAAATTAAAACTTTGTTAATAAAAGCCTTTCTTTTGAGGGGAGGGGAAAGAAGACAGTGTGTCTAATGGAGAATTTCCTCCATGACCTCCCTTACAGTGCCTGAAACCACTGAGAGGAGATTGAAGGCACTCATCTGGCTGCTCCCATCATTTTAATAGTAGAGGGATGCTAAGAGGAACACTGTGTTTCTCTTCACACAGTCCCTTACTAGTGAGGGATGTGGTGAGTGGCACAGAAACAGGGGAAAAGATATGCAATATCTCCTGGGATCCTTCTCATGAAGTCCTATGTCAAGGATCCCACTTCTGTGTTGGCAGCTGAGCTGTGCAGCAACATCTTCTCCATCTAATGACTCCCATGCCAAGGGATGACAAGTATTTCATGAGCAAAGGTTGAAAGGGAAGAGCTGGAGCCTCCCAAACCATGACCTTTAAGAATTTCTGGAGGTCTCTCCACACCCAGTCCTCCTTGCAGGCTTTGGCCAGACTCATTTCCAGGAGATCCTCACCTTCATCTCCACCCTCCAAGCAAGGCCCAAGTCCTGCTAGTGCCCTGACAAATGACGCTGAGATTCCAGGATTAACTCCTTGCCAGAAGCAACCTGCAACTGGTGCCATAATCACTATTTGCACTGGTGGTGAGGAACAGGCTCGAGTGCTTCAGAATTACAAGCCTGCAAAACGAGCTTTGGAACATACTTGTGCTCCAGCTGGGCAAGGACCTATAAAGCTCCCCTTACATCTCGAGGCCAGAACACTGAATTATGCAGGGCAGACTCAGATCTTAAGAGACATTCCAAAGAGTCCCTCAAACCAGACTTCCTCACTTCTTTCCTAACTATAAAAGTAGATTCAGATTTTGCCCCTAACACCTAAATTTCTCCTCCTGGATCCCACCACAAGCTCCAAGTTTAGTGCATCTCTTTCTCTGCCTCCTGCAAAGCCCAGTGGTAGGAGATGGACTTTGAGAAAGACCCTCACTGGTACCCAACCCTAACCAAAACATGAACCATCTCCCTCAGTGGCAGACTCATGACAGACCTATGCTCAGACACAATCCCAGGAGAAGCCCTGAGGATGCCGTGAGCTGTCCTTGGCTGGTGTCCCAACCCTTCCCAGCCACTGCAGTTCAATTCCACAGAAGCTTATTAAAAATTCAGGGGCTGACACCCGTTCCCAAACCAGGGCACAGCCAGGAATGTCCTGCCTTAGGGAGGAAGGCTGCCAGACTTCAATCCTGCTTGCTCTGTCTGGAGTCTCTGTAAATGCATCTTTCCATATAAAACCAAGTGGGGAATCTGTGAAAGAGTCATCTCTGCAGCTCCAGGGGACTTCGGGTGGAAGATCTCATCACCCCGTGTCCCCTCTGGAAGCCTCTGATAGCAATCCCACCTCCAGCTGCCTGAGGAAGATCCTTAGGATCCTTAGGACTCTCCCAGAGAGAGAGAGGAGGGCTGACTCAGAAAAACCCTCACCAAAATCATCGCCTCTAACCGCGGCCTGAGGCGGGTGTTGGTTTAATTTCACCGCGGGTGAGAACGTTTCCGTGGGCGCGGTGAGAACACCCGCTGGCACAGACCCGTCGGTCCAGAAAGCCGGTGTTTTCCACCCACGGGCAAGCCGGCTAGCAGCAAACCTCCCCGCCAATCCCGGACACGTGCTGCTCGCGGGAACCGGCTGTTCCCGGGGACGCGCCACACTCGGTGCTTGTGAGAGCGGCTTTGCTCCAGGCAGTCCTTCTGCCGGCAACAAACCTCATCTGTCCTTAAAAACCAGAAAAGGGATGGTATCAGCAGGATAATCATGTAACAAAGCGGGTGCATAAATGTTTAAAAAAGACTAATAGGACGTGCTGGTATGGGCAGTGCCGTCCTAGGAAAGGCAGTGTTGATGCCCAGGGTAAAATACAAAGGTAAGAGCCTTGTACAGGGTGTCAAATGGGCGAGGAGGTGGGATGCAGCTGTCCCAGCAGGCAATAAGCAGCCCATAAAATTAAAACACATCACCACCACTCGAGTAACGTGGCCTGTCTGGTAGACAGGAAAGCAGGAGCATGGGGCAACTATTAGTCTGGTGCCACGTTAGACATAAGGGGTAAAAAAAATATATGTATATATACGTATCTATATTTTGCTTTCTGCTTTTAAAAATATCCTTTTCAATATATTTGCCGTATTATAAAACTTATGGCACACTGTGCTGCAGAAACCCTCCCACATCACACACCCTCATACCCAGTGCTGGGTGCTCCTAGAGAACTAGAAATGCTCCCACTGGCACTAACCAACCTCCATGTCTTGAAATCTTTGGGAACTGACAAAGTATTGGGTTTACTAAGTGTCTGCAGACAGAATGACAATTCTTACTGACCTATACAGAGAAATTGCTGCCTCCCATTATCCAATCAGAGTTTCCCACCTGACCCAAATTAAAAAAAACAAGATCAATCCCCAAGTAAAAAAAAAAATTATCCCCAAGAACAGTGAAGTCTATTTAATTTCCCTTCCTCCACCCCAGTCACAAATGAAATGTGCAATTAGAATTATTATCTGTTAGAAAGTCCTAGGTAAGGCATGGTTATTCCAAAGCTGGGGGAGAAGCCTGTTAGGACACCCAGAGGAAATAGGCAACTTCGTCCAGGTCAACGGGATAGTCGGTGAGCAGCACTGGCGTCTTCTCAAACAGCTCCCCCTTGTAGCTGCGCCACTTGCCCGCCGGCAGGTAGACATCCCGCTCCTGCTTGCCCATCTCCAGGACAGGGGCCACCATGAGGGTGTCCCCGATGAGGAACTGGGAGTCGATCCTGTGAGTGGCCTCGTCGCGGGGCGAGATCCACCAGATGGGCCGGATGATGGGGTCGCCCGTGTCGGTGACCTCCCCGGCCAGCTCCAGCAGCAGCGGGGCCACCAGCGACTCGTGGAGCTCCGTGAACTTCTGGGCGATCTCCACCACCTCCTTGTCGTAGAGCCAGGGCGGGATGGAGAACTGCATGGAGGGCATGAAGGCCGACAGCTCCAGCCACCGCACGTACAGCTCCCGGTCGGGGATCTCCACCGCCCCATTTGTCTTATTGGGGAAAAAATTCCCTCCGATCATGTCGGCAGATATAAAGGGGTACCCCAGCATGCTGATGGTGAGCACCGTGGGGATGAGGGACTTGAGGCCCAGCTCGTAGCCCCAGACGGAGTCGCGGTCGATGATGCGGAAGAAGCAGGAGATGTTCTGGGACTGGTAGCCCACCCGCACCTCGGCCAGCTCGTAGAAGGGGATGGCCATCTCCGTGTAGCGCCGGGACCAGATGCTGGGGTCCGAGAGCGGGCGGAAGGTGCTGAACTGCTTGGGCAGGTAGCTGGTCTCGCCCGCATCAAACTTGAAGGACGAGATGCCGTACTTGTGCCGGAGCTGGCGCAGGTGGCTCTGGAACCAGTCCCGGGCTGCTGGGTTGGTGAAGTCCAGGATGGCCCCAATGCCGTTCCACCACTCCACCATGGCTGGCAGCCGCCCCGACGGCTCCTTGATGAACAGCTGACGCTCAATCCCCACACCAAAATTGGAGGAATTGTAATTTATGAAAGGGTGAGTCCACAGAGTGACCTTGAACCCATCTTCCCTCAATTTTGCAAACATCTCTGTCACGTTGGGGAACTTGACAGGGTCAAAGTCAAAGTCCCCATAGGCTTGCGTGTACATGTCATCGATCTCTATGTGGCTGCAATTAAAACGGTACTTCTTGATCTTTTCAGCGAATCGTAAGAGTTTATCCTGGTCGATGTCATTCTTGTAGAGTGCCCAGGTGGACCAGATGGGGTACCGGAAGGCATTCTCAGCGGGGATCTTGGAGGGCTTGTTGAAGTACCTGCGCACCATGTACTTGTGGATGGAGGTGACGTCGGAGCCCACGCAGACGCGGTAGCTGAGCTCGGGGAAGGGCGGCTGCCCCGGCGGGGGCTTGTAGGGAGAGTCCTTGTAGCGGGCTTGGAAGAAGAGGGCGCGCTGGGTGGCGTTGAAGCCCAGGTGGAAGGGCACGGAGTCGTTGATCTTGATGGCCGCCGCCTTGGAGGAGAGCCAGTAGCGCTCCAGGATGCCGCCGAAGCTGTCGCGGAAGGAGTAGACGTCACTGGTCACGTAGGGCACGGGCTCCTGGTAGCCGGCCAGGCGGATGGGCCAGTGCTGGGTGCTCATCTCCGAGCCCCCGTACCAGTGGGCATCCTCCCAGAACATGGTGTGCTCCACCGCCGGGCCGGCCGCCAGCTCCTCCCAGCGCACGCGGTAGCACATCACCGTGTCCTTGGGCTTCACCGTCTGGATGAAGAAGTTGAGCGGCCCCCGGCTCGACCGCGTGCAGCTCAGGATCTCGCCCTCCTTGGAGCACGACTCCAGGTCCAGGCTGCCCGAGCGGAAGGCCAGCCGGAACACCACCTCCCCGTGCTGGTTCCTGATGACGAAGCCGTCCGCCCGCAGGTCCATCAGCTCCGTCTTGAGCCGCTCCGCCTTCCGCAGGGACACCGTGTAGTAGCACCAGGCCACCACTGCGGCGATGAACAGCATGAGGCCCAGCAAGATGGCCCCGAGCATGGGCCTCAGCTCCTTGGAGGGCTTCTGCTTCACAGGTGTGAAGTTCTCGGGTAGGAAGGTGTACATGGTGCTCTGTTTTCTCTACAGCTTTTTGCAGAGGAGTGGGAAGGAAGGAAGTCTGGGTCTCTCAGCAGAGGAAAAAGGGATTGTTAGGAGCGTTCCCACCTCCGCCGACTCCCAGAACACTCATCTCTGCAAACGAAGAGGATATAAATAGTGTCAGAAAAATCTCTGAATCAAGGGACAGCGTGTCATCCATTTGCTGTCTCCCCCAGCCCCCTGTTGCCCAACTGTGACGTGCCAGGTGCTGCACGCCGAGTACCAGACACCATCTCCAATTACCCCGGGCAAGACAACACATGCTGAAAACAGCCTGGGCCCCATGCCGAGAACAACCCCAGGGCAACAAGGACCAAATCATTGCCATAATTAATGGTTCTTTTATTGTTGGGACGCTTTCAGTGAGGCAGGAGTGGAGGCTGGGAGGGAGTAGAAGGAAGCTGAACAGGAGCCAGATCAGCCCACTGACAGTGTCTTTAAGAGACAGGGATAACTAAGAGCCATAAAAGGTACCACGCAATGAATTCCAGGCAGCCGCTCCTAATTTTAATCAAACTGCCTCCCTGGCAGATTTAATTCAACTCATCTGCAGCACCATCCTCTTCCTGTCCCCAGCATGTCCCCAGCATGCCCTCAGCATGTCTCAGCTGCACCAGGCTGGGTAATGCTTTGGAGTGAAGGTGGGAAAATCCATGCTCCTCCACAGCTCCCAGAGGGCCAGCCAGGGCTGGGGTACAAGTGGCTCATGGCTGGTTTTGAGGGGCATGTAGGGGCTGCAGTAAGCAGCAAAGCATGGCTGTGGGAGGTACCCCACCAGCAGCCCCCAGCCAGAGGGGAGCAGCTGGCTCTGCCTTGTGCTCAGACCTCTACAAGGGCTCTGCGTGGGAGAAAAGCTAACTTTGTTGGGAGTGAGCAGTGCAGGACCTCCAATGGGCTCTTCCTCTGAGCAGTAAGGCTCCAGGCTGTGTTTCAGCTCCAGCTCTCTCCCCCCTGCATGGCCCCGGGGAAGCGGACTGTGCCAAGAGCCTAATGGCTTTTCCTTGGCCATGGTCTGGCTGGGCTCTGCCAAGCATAACGCCCAGCATCCAGGGGGAAAAAGTAAAGTAAGGACACGGGAGAATGAGAAACAAACACAGCTGCAGGAGGAGCAGGGGAAGGGGGAAGGAGCTGCAGAGCTGCAGACCAGCTGGCCAGTATCTGCCTGGTGCCAGCAAACACAGCACGCCACCTCCTCCCCAAGCTTTGGGGCTGGAAACCTGCCAGCTGTGGGCAAATCAAAGGGAAAAAGCCCTCTTCTGGGGCACAGATGAAACTGGTTGCAGAGGCTCCCTCTAAAGGGGTTGGTTCCTTTCTTAACAAAAAGGAAGAAAAAGATCCAAAATGAAACACAGAACCCTCTGCCTGCCACAGGCACGACAAGCCAGAACACCCTGTGCCTCCAACAGATCTTCCTCTCCAGAAAAGGCAAAGAGAAGCAGAAAGGAGTCCTGAGCACCACCTAAGCCCCGTTGCTCCACTACAGGCATGCCCAACTGTAAACCCACAGCAGCATCTGCGCACAGGCTCAACAAAACATTCCCTGTTTTCTAATCATCGTGAAGCATGTATTGAACTAGACCCTGCAGTTGGGGGAACTTTTTGTGTAGCCAGACAGGTCATTTTAACCTTCCCCTGGGAGCCAGTAACTTTCTAGACTGCCAGTTGCTTTAAATGGGATTACAGAGGCATTAGGAAGCGATTAGCCTGAACAGGCGATAGGTTTAGTCAAACGACTTGTCCCACGGCCAACTCCCACGGAGCCCTCACTCGGCACGGGATGGGGACAGCTCCAGCCATTCCAACTGTGTCACCCAGCGATGGGTCCTGCCCCCAGGAGGGCAGTGAGACTCTCACCCACCAGCACATGTGATGCAAGGCCAGGCGAGCCCAGCAAAAATTGGGAAGGCAGGGAGAAGCTGGTGGTGGGAAGAGGCTGTGTTTGGGATAAACCTTCATCCCCTCTCCCAACTCTTGCTTTGCTTTAGGGTGAACCAGAAGCAGCACAGGGTTTCACCAGGGATGGCGGGGAGGAAGGTTTGAGGAAGGATCTTGGCCAAAACCAACGCAGCTCAGCAAAGCCGCAAGTGGTAGGATGCTTCTGGAAATACAGATGGGTATGCTGAGCCCAAACAAACTCCATCCCTCTCAGCACTGGGAATTTTTGGGGTGCGAGAGAGAGAGAGAGAGAGAGAGATGCAAATACCTGTCATGACTATGTCTCGGTCCTGCCTTATCTGGGGACTGCAAAGCTCAAGGGGGGGAAAATATAAAAAGCAGCCTCCACCAAGCAGCACTTGCAAATTATTTGGGAAAGTAATTTTTTTAAAGCTTTCACATTTTCTGTACAGAAAAGAGGGGAAAATGGTGTTTTCTTTCCAACTCTCATTTAGGGTTTTAAACCCAAGAAATGTTTGATACTGCCACTGTGGCGACAGCCACCTCCTCATTCCATGTAAAACTGACAGCAGCACCCAGGGCTTTAGGGAGTTTTTGGATTTTTATCTCCCTTTCAGGAGGCTGGTTTATTATTTATGAACTACTTCCAAGCTGCTCTATTTTTAGGCTGTTTCCTTCTTTTACCCCCCATGGGCTGGAGCTCATGGCATACATGAGGGAGCCATCAGTGCTGCTGTCAGTAGAGAAATAAATGTGTTATTTTAAGAAAGGTTTTGCAGCCTTTTGTGTCCCTTGGACACTGATCTGCCTCAGAGGGATGTGAAAGCTGGGTGATTGAGCTGGTGGATTTAATGCTACTCTGGTTGCTATGGCTGGGCCAGGATCAAACCCTGTGGCTGCCCTGGGCTGATGAACATTGCCTGCCTGGATACTTCTCCAACAAAGACGCCTGGAACTATGTTTGTGGGCATCACCCAGCACACTGATGGGCCAGGAAGGTCTCCAGACCCAGTCCTGCTCTGTGCCCATGCAGTCCCTCTATTTTTTTTGCCTTGTTAACAAAATGTACCTTCTCCAGTGGGAGATTTGTCTCCATCCCAGGTGAGAGCTAAGTCTCCCAGGGTCCCCAGAGATGCCTTCCACCTCTCACTCGTGAGCTGCAGCCTGCAGAGGTGCCTGCTCATGAACTGCTTGTTTCAACTTTTTTTTTTTTTTTGGAATGCTAACTTGTTATTTTGCTCCAAGATGACATTGTGGTGACCTTTAACTCCTCAAAAAAAAAAAAGAAAAAAAAAAGCAAATGGGGGGGAGGGAGAGTGTCAAAGTCAAACAGCATGTTTGCAGCTTGCTGTGCTGGAGCTTCCCAGCTGACCCAAAACAAAGCTTTTTCTTTGTGTTCTGTGGAAGCAGCGAGCCATCTTGCCTCAACCCAAGATGAAAGCAAAACATCTGAGCAGGACACACTTCATGGAGTAAAAATAAAAATCCATTTTTTGACCGCTTCTATTTTTACCAACACCGCCGCTATCCACGGGCTGCGAGACCCACAGCACCACTAACCCCAGCCACTTTGCAATTAGGACATTCGTTTAAAGAGGGTCAATAACACATAACTGGTCTCTACTGCCCTGGCAGGGCCAGGTCTGAACCACGCCAGGGGCCAAGCTTGTTCTGGGGACCCACACCCATTTCCCATGCCGGGATGCCAGGAAGCCCTCGCCTCCGCTGCAAGGTGCTACTGCCTCCTCCTCAAACATGTTGGCAGCAGTCAAGCTGAGGAAACAGCACAGAAACACTGCAGCTTTCACCAGGAGGCACCTCCAACCCCATACAAGAGAAGGGAATTAGGATAGCAAATTAAGGGAGAAATGTCTCCCCTGCAAAAAAGCTGTGGGGGCAAAAAACCCTCCACGTGCCGAGTCTGGAACCCCCTGCGGGGAACCAGCCCTGACAAAGAGACTTTGCACACCTGAGATGGAGGGCAAGCAAACCCTTCCTGAGGGTTTCATTTCCCTTGGAGGAGTCTGCAGCTGAGTTCTCTGAAGGGCTTTTTTTTGTCAAATATGGTAAAATCACTGTTCCACCTGCTTGGTGCTGCAGATGGGACAGGTGGGGGCACCTGGAAAAACACCTTCACAGAGCACAAAGCTGCTCCCCACACAGTCTGACTCCACATGGACCAGAAGCACCGACTGCTTCCCGAGTCCTGTGGATCCTCCCAAATACCACAGCAGATCCCCCAAGGGCTCTGGGTTTATCCCTGCAATGATTAATCCACCTTGGGGTGGCACAGACCCCCGGTCCCTGAGCCAGGGCAGCGGCTCTGCCCTAGCAGGGATAGCGAGGGGGACCCTCACCTTCATCATCCGCGCTGTGGTCAGAGCAGGGATCGACAGCCTGCCTGGTCTGAGGGGCTCAGGGAGAGGCTGTGGGGAGGGGGTTGTCTGCCCCTCCTGCAAAGTGACAGACCCTTGCTGTTGGGGCTGTTGCAAATTCCCCGCAGCACCCGACTGCTGGATAGGGACAGGCCCAGCCAGGAGGCAGCTCACCCTGCCGGGGGCACGGTGCCCCGGGTACTTACCTGTCCGCTGCTTCCCGGGGATCCCTGCCTGCCGCCTGGCTCCACCACAGATGCCTTTTTAAGCACTTAAAACCCGAGCACCGCTACATCTCCGCGTCCCCGGCAGCTTCGACCTCTCCATCGCGTTTCGTGTCGGGGCTCCGAGCCGGCTGCTCCGTGTCCGCGGGCAGGAGGAGGGGACCGGCACGTCACCGGCGTGTTCTCTCAGGCACTGTGACGGATGCGGGAGCAGCCAACCCTCTGGCCGGGGTGTGCCAGGGAAGAGGCGCCCGGCCAAGGGGGGCTGCCGCAGGCACTGCCGGGGCACACGCTCCCGGAGTCCCGGGATCCCGGCTGGCATCTCCCCTCCCTGCCAGGTGAGCGGGAAGGGCCGGTGAAAGCTCGTCCCCTCCTGCACTCACAGGAGCTCCAGAATCAGAAAGCAAAATAATAATAATAATAATAAAATCCACCCAACACACGGTTTGGGGTGTTTTTTTCTTTTCTCCCCCAAATCTTCTTATTTTAAGTAGAGTTGTGATCCTGCAGGATAATGAAGCTGCCCTGAGCGACAAGAAACAAGCAGTCCCACTGCTGCCGGCTGGTTTGTAAGCCAGGATTAAACAGCACTGGGCACCCAGAGGATAAACCCCAAATCCAAGGGGGCCACGTGAATACAGAGCTCATCTGCAAAGTGCAGACATGCTGCCAGGACCTCGCTCTGTCTGCAAGAGGAGGCAGAAGATTTGAAGCTGAGGCATTAGCTCTGCCCAACCTTAAATACTTTCACCTATACTGTGGGAATCATGACTTTACAACCCAGGTTTGTCCTTTAAAGCTTCCAGTGTCAAGTGATGTTCCAAACTCATTTAGACACCTCATCCAGTGTCTGACCATGAATACAAAATAGCCACTGGGAATCAGTTCCGGCAGCAGATGACTTAATATTTTAACACCCGTGATAATTCCCCCTTCATAACATTGTCTCTCTTTGTTCTTCACCCTGTGTTAATTAGCAAGATGAAGTTCAATAAGCTGGCTTTTTCACTTTAACCCTCCATACCTCTTATGGTGCTGATGTCTCACGACTTAACAATGACCAGAGGCTCTTGCTTTCCCCTGCCTGGAGGCACATCACAGCACCTGAATTTATCCGAGCTTCAAAGATTTGTGGAGACTTTAAAACAAAGGGAGGTGTCCTGGTCCACTTGCATCAAAGTGCATTGGACATGAGGGAGAGAAAGCTCCAGGGCTCTCCCTCCAAAGACATCTCTCCGTCCACCCTGGAGAAGTGCTACAGGCCCTGGGGGAGCTGGAGGCAGCCTGGCTCCAAAATTGCAGTCCATGGGGTATCCCAGAGCCCAGCAGCCAGCTGCTCAGTACCTAAGGGCACATCAGCTCTCGTGCCCAACAGCAGCAAAACACCAAATGCAAGGGGTTCCACCTGCCTGCATGCCAGGATGACATAAATCATCCCCCCAAATAAACAAGAACGATAACTACAACAATATCATCACTCCCACTAAGGAGCAGCACCAGGCAAGGACATGGCCCAGCAGGCAGACATGGAAACTTCCACACGAGCCATCAGTTTACTATTAGCTTATTTCATTTGCCACGTGTGCTGTATAAGACCCACAGCCATCAAGATTTTGGTGTCCTTGATGATGTCTGTCACTCCCTCAGCCCAATTCCGGCTGGTACACGACGTGTGCCCTCAAACACCACATCACTCCAACAGCCTCTCCCCAGAGTGGGGGTTAATCTCATTCCCTACTCATCTCCCTCCTCCAAGATAAATCACCCCACAGCAGGACCCAGTGCCCTGTTTTGCGACCCCTCCCCCGACTCTTTCTTAAAAGAGCTGATTCAGCGCTTCGGGAGCGCTCAGCATTTCGGATGCCGAAGCAGCCTGAAACCTGAGCCCACCCCAACACCCAAGCGCTACAACGCGATATGGGAGAGAAATGGAAACACAAGCACATCCCTCTGGCACGGCCCCGGCGATTTTCCAGCCATTGAGTCACCATGAAACTCCAGGCGCTGGGCAGCTCCAGAGAGCTGTGGTTGGCTAATGGAGCTGGGCTGGCGACTCGGGTCCCTGAATTCGCATCTGTACCCAACAGTCGGCAGAGACTTGAGACACAACACCCTTGGGCCAAACGCAGTCGTCAATCCCTTTAAGTGCTCCCTTGCATGCTCCATGGGCAGATCCACTCACACAGACATAAACTCCCAGACCTCACTGTCCGCCCGGCTGTGCATCGTGAGTATCCCAAGGCGGTGAGGCGAGGGTAGGGAAAAGAGGGAGTAGCGTCTGTGCTTTCCAACACGCTTTGGCCGCTCCTTGCCATGGCCAGTGATGGCGGAGCTGTCCCAAAAAAACACTCCAAACCCAAACCCGGCACATGGCACAATTCGCAGCGTACACCCATCTGCAAAGTTTTCACTACGAAGCGTCGATACAGCGGCAAAAGCTGAAGCTGCACCTGGCGACTGGAGCTGGGGACGTGTCTCCCAGCTCCGCTCATCTCCTCCGGGCGGGCAGACTCCCACCCACGACAGGACTCGCGCGGTCCCTGCACGGCGGGATGCCAGAGGCTCGCACCCCAAGGTCAGGGCGAAGCTCTGCACCTTCACCCCGGTCCCCGCGGGCCTTCCCGAGCCATCCCCGCTCCGGCCGGCAGCCTGGGGTCTGCGGGAGGGGGACCCCCTCGCCCGCCTCCACCCCGCAACCCCGTGCCGGGGCTGCGCCCCCCACCCCCGCCCCGGGGGCAGCCCCGGGACCCGCGGACTCACCGGGGGCGCGGGGCCATGGCCGGGTCTGCGGGGCCGGGGGGCTCCGGGCGCGGGGCTGAGCGCGGTTTTCCGGGGTTGGGCGCTCCCCGCCCCGCCCCGGCTCCCGCCCTGGACCGGCCCCCGGACCGGCGCTCCCCGATGGGAGATGTAGTTCGGCCCCGGCGGGGCTGCTCCAGGGGGATGGAGCCGCTGGGGATGCCCGGGGGCGCGTGAGGATGCGGTTTCCCCTGGGACTGGGATGGAGGAGCTCGGGGTTTGGCGCTGGCAGGGCTGTGCCAGGATGCTTTTCGGTCAGGATGGGGGGTTTCATGTGATGCTTCGGGGCCGGGACAAGGTTTTAATGGGATGCCTCGTGGCTAGGATGGAGTTTTATTGGGATGCTTTTGGGCTGTGCTGGGCTTTTCATTCGATGCTTTGGGGCTGGGATTGGCTTCATGGAGTGCTTTTGGGCCGGGTCATGCTTTTCATGGGATGCTCTTTCATGGGATGAGGTTTTCATGGGTTTTACCCTGCCCCCGGTAGGATTGGGGTGCTGCTTGGTGTGGGCACAGCATGGCAGCCATGCTGCCCCACTGGAATGTGGGTTCCCAGATGGCTCTGTGCTGGAGCATCCACCCCACCATGAGGACTGCAGTGCTGCGGGTTTATATTCAGCAGCACACTTGGAGGGCCCTGGGTGATGTTGCCCCCTGGCACTGTGCTCTCAGATCATAGTCAGAGAAGGGCATTTCATGCCTTCATTAATTATGTGCTGCTTTCAAGTCCCCCTCCTTATTTAGCCTGTGTCCGTGCTCAGTATCCCAGATGGATGGCAGCTCTTCCTGGATAACTTGCCAAAAGCAAGCACGTCCTCAGCAGCCCAGCACGAAGCCGACAAACACGGGTGTCAATGACTGCTTCTATTTTTGGCTGTGTTACTATGCTCTGAGAGCTTTCCCTGGTGCGCTTTCTTGGTCTCCAGCTTGTGTGTGGTGGCAAGGTACCAGACCCTGAGGGTTCTTGAAGTGCCCACCAAGCCAGCAGCTGCTGAAGTTTCTTCCCCCTTACCAGGAACTTTCCAAACCTGTGGGAAAGGGTCTGAGGGGAACTGGCACAAGCCAGTTTTAATGAAAGCCTGTATCTGCCCTTCACCAGTGCCAAGGGACAGAGCAAGCCTCTGAGATAAACTAACACTCCTTGACATTTCCAGGAGACTATTTCCAGCAGATGTCCCTCCCTGCAAACACCCTCTCTCTCTTGTTTGGTCATTTTCCCTAAAATCTTCATTCCCAGAGCCATACCAATCCAGGAAATTACTCCTGTTTCTAAGTGGAGAAGACCTTGAGAAGCTTCTCTCTGAGCCTCAGGCACAGGGAAATCTGTGGAAAACCCAGTGCTCCTTGTTTATTCTCATAGTTTAGTTTTAGCTCCAGATCTCTGGAATTTAAAGCCAGTCACCCATTTTCTGCAAAGCCTCACACCTAACTTTGGCCTATGAGGGGTTAATGCAGTAGCTGAGTGATGGCTGTGCTGGCTGGACAGCCTCCCTTCTGCCCTTGTTGCTTCCCCAGGGCTGAAAAAAAGCTGCCTCAGCAACAGAGATATCCTAAAGGTAAAGATGTGGGGATTAAAAGGTGCTGCTGGACCTGCAGTGGGTGAAGGACAGGGGTGATTACTGCATAACGAACAGCGTGACCAGGGAACAGATTCTTGATAAGTAGAGCACTCAATGACAACAGAAAATACAAGAGCAGCACAAGAAACACTGATGTGGTCTGCGAGGATGCTAAGCTACATGCAAACTGGGCTCAGGGATGTCAGCAGGATCTCAGGGGTCGTACAGTCCCAAGGACGGCCAGGTGAGACCAGGCAGAGGAACACCTGTCCTGGCAGGTAAATCTGGCAACCGGTTCTCCGTGGGTGGCAACAACATTTTCCACAGCCCAGCACTGCAGTGGTGTCCTGCCCTGGTCAGGTTCACTCACTCTACGAGATGGAGGTGTGGGGGCTGCATCGCTGCCTGTGTGGGCACCACGGTGGGACCTGCTATCCCTCGGGGTCTGCAGTCCCACCCATCCTAGGCAGGTGGGTCTTGGGGAAAAACAGCTTGGGCACGCTGTGCAAAAAGGTCTCCAACCTTGCCTCCTGCAAGGAGAAATGCCAGCCTTCTGCTGCAGAGCTCGAGGTGCTGGCAGCACCTGGGGCAGCTCCACCTTGGACAGAAGGGGGAGGTGAGTGTTTATTCCAGGCTGTGCTGTTGGAGGGACCTGTTGTCCAGGTGATGTATTTGCCCTTACTGACAAAAACTGCGTTGTGCTGTGCGATGAAAGCGCCAGGCAGCGGTGTCCTGTGGTGCTGGGGGTGTGGGGGGATGTCCAGAGAGCCCTGACTGTTCCCCCACTCCCTGGAAGACAATGCCACAGGGTGAGGGGACGTGTCAGGGGTTCTGATCACCAGGTTCTTGTTAAGGATCTGTCGTGGAGGTGACACCCACCACTTGCAGCTCATTGACCACTTGTTCCTGCCTGTGCAGCCTTGGTCCCTGGGGGCTATGGGGCTCCTGGAGAGCATACCCCAGGCAGCACCTACCACCAGGGGGTATTTATGGCATACCAGGGGACAAAACGCTAGGGATCAGCAGACATTCCTTGGACAGGGACAGTCTCAGTCCAGGGAGGGAGGTGGGTGGCAGTGGCAAAGCCACAAGCACAGATACTGAAGGAGCATCCCTTTGCCCCTGGAAGGGGAACACAGGATGTAAAAGGAGGATGAACAGAGCCACTGCCAGCATCCTTAGCCTCCTGACCCCATGGAGACCTGCCCTGTGTGATTCAGGGTCAGCTGGCACCTCAGCAGTACCTTCAGACCTGCCCAGCCCGCCCGTACTTCTTGGGCCAGTAAGCAGCAGGGCAATGGTGTTGTTGTAGTGTTCCTGCATTGCCACCTCTATCAGCTGCTCGGTCTGACCTTGGCTCGATGGGTTTTGTAACAGGGGCGTTGTTAATCCCTACAGACAGCAGGGAGTGGGAAGAGACACCCATGCCATGTGGCAGCATCTGTCTTCACAGCCATCGGGACACACGGTGAAGCCGATTATCAGGCAGGATCTAATGCTGGAAATGCAGCTGGACATCCGACACCAAGCCTCCCTTACACAGGGTGGGCCTGGGGGTCACTGCAGCACCGTGATCCTCCCTCCAGGCTCCCTGCTCACCCAAAACCAGGGGAGGAAAGATGGCTGGGCATCACTGGCTCCTCTCCCCCTGCAGCCAGGGTGTCCATAGGCATCTGGTCACTTTGCCTTAGTGGGAGATGGGGTGAGTGCACTGGGAATGGGGCCAGCATGGGGTGGGGAGTTACACGACCAAATCAATGTCCTACAGCTGGCAAGGCCAAAGAGGGCTGGGTCCTGTGGGGCAGAGGGGTGCTCTAGCAGTGACATCTCTCTCTCTGCCCTCTGCTCGTTCCCTCATTATAATGCACATGCTAACGAGGCTGCGGGAGATGAGACAGTTTGCAGCAAGCTTTGTCTCAGTGCCTGTGACCTTCTTAGCCCCTGTGGGGAAAGCTGTGTCCCACAGGCACACACTGAGACCTCAACTCAGGGATCCCTCTTCCTCCAGGACCAGGGCTGGCAGGGGTTTTTTTGGTGCTCAGATCTTTCCCCAGCCCTTCACACGATCCCCCTGTCATGGGAGGCCCCTCATGGGAACTGATCTGAGCCTGAGGGCTGTGCTGGAGCAGCTCTCAGAGCCACCCTGTCTGCCCCCCCATCATCACCATGTCACACAGCAGCCCTGGTTTGGGCTCTGCCTCAGTTTCCCTTTCCTCAGCAGATCCTGCCAACTGTGCACTCCAAAACCTACTGATGGACAGAGCTGATGTGTGAGAGCTCTTCCTGGTGACTGAGAGCCCAAGGCCGCTGCAGGATGAAGCTCCAGGGGACAAGAAGTTGGCAAGCACAGCCTGTGAGGTGTCAAACACTTCCTAATCAGGGAGCCATTCCCCCAGTACAGACATGCAGCAAGGCACTCCATGAGTCCCCGTGCCAATCCCCTGCAGCTGCAGCTGGGTAGCGGTAGAAACCCTGAAGTTTTCTCCTCCTGCAGCATTTATATGTTTTGCTAACTTGTTCTCTTTCCAGAGCTGTTGTGGAGCTTGCTCTTGGCTGGTCTTTTTGACAAAGCACAGCAGGCAGCAGGAGCTGATGTAAGTGCTGACAGGGGGCCTTGTGTTTTTTGGAGAAGAGTAACATGTTGCTGCAGCCTGCTGGCACAGGTTTGGGCCTGGGGATTCACAGTCCACATAGGAAGGGGAACGGGGCTTGTGCCACTGCTCTGCCAGCCCCAGGTGGTGCTTATGTGATTAGTGATGCCACAGGATGGGAGCAGGGGGATTTGGTGGCTTTCGATCAGTCCCATAGCTATGCTCCAGTTCTAGCCTAGGGCAGAGTAATTTCTGCCTGCATCACTCCTGGGCTGCACCCTCCTGGTTTCATCCTGGCTCCCAGCTTCCTCCCCTCCTGCAGGCAACTACCTAACAATAGTAGGAAATAGTTTCAGCTGGTCTTAGTCAAGATAATTTTATTTTGGGAGGTGCAGGAGAAGTGATTATGGTGGTTCCAGCCCCTTTCTCCTGTATTTCCTCGGAAATCCTGCAGCAATTCAGCTGCAGGCAAAGAGCCCCACACCAGTGCAGCCAATGCCCATGGCACAGCAGCAGGCGCAGCTGCCCCACCCTCTGTGGTAGCCAGGGGAATTATCACCTGCTCTGTCTCCCCTTTTTAATTAGAAGCTGGATTTACGTGATCCTCTGTGGCTTGTTTGGTCTTCCATTCTGAGTAATGGGCTCTGCAGACAGAGTGAGAGATCCTCATCCATCTCAGTGCAGAGAGGCAGCTGAGTCATACCAGGGAAGGATTTGCAAGAGCTGGGTTTGCTTTTCCTGGAGCTGTGGAGTTGAGAAGAATCCTTGCTCCTGCACAGACGTGGACAAGCCAAGCCCTGCTCTGGCCTGGCTCGTCACAGAGTGCTGACTCAGAGCCCTGCTCTGCTTCCAGTTCCAGCCCCTCTGCTGACACATTTTTGGAGATGACTAGTGCAGACCCAAGCCCGTCTTGGTGGGGTGGATGCCAACCTGTGCCCCTGAAGGGCTGCAGAGCCCTGCTTGGTTTGCTGCTGGCAATGGTGGGGTCAGGCAACCCGTGGCACCTGAGTGGCTCCAGGCAAAACATGATAATATGCTGTTAGAGATGAAGAAAACAAGTGGCCCCTGATTTTCACACCCCACTGGAGTCTGTTGAGCCAAGTTGAGGCTCTTCATCAGCCCCATCCCTTCCTGGGAGTCAGTGGGAGGCTGGGAGGGAAGGGTGAAGCACCCCAGGACACAGGTCTGGGGAGCACTGCTCTGCAGAGGTGGACTCCAAGCCTCTCAGTTGTGGGGGGACTAATCCTACACCAGACTCAATGCCAGCATGAACCACTGTACCCCCATGGCTGTCCCCTGTCCCATCTGATTTCCTGCTGCTGGTGTTGGACTTTAAAATCAGCGCTTGGCTCCGGTGCCAACAGCTTCGAGAGGCAGAAGGGCTGGAGAGAAGGTTATTTCACCCACTGGTGTCATACAGATGCACAGTTTCTTTCTGCTTCTTGAAGACCAGAGGTAGGGGCGGGGTCCAGCCTTGTGTGCCTTCCCACTGCCTTGGGAACAAATGTGGGCAGGGGGCTGGACAGTTCCTGAATATTTACTCCTGCGAGACAGCACGGCTCCACACCAGTTGCTGTTTCTGGTCACAAGCAGGCTGGTATTAGCCATGGGATGAAGGCTGCACCCCTGATTTCAGTATCTGTGACTGCTGGAGGCTCAGAGGAGATGGCAGAGCCCGCACCCTCTTGCCTCAGTTCTCTCCAATGAAAAAAGGCTGTCAGGCTCATTTTCATATGTATGCTTTTTAATATCATTAATTCCGTTACACTACACACAACCAGTAACAATGATAAATACTGCAATGGAAATGTTAAAAAAAAATATTATACATGTTTCGTGTTTTTGAAAAAAAAAAAAAAACAACTCCCACATTTTTAAATAAATTAATGCATAAAACTGATGGTAGAAAAGAGAAAACCCAAAACAAACCACAACACAACTGATCTGTTTAAGGCAATACTCTACACAGACAGGAACAAAAGTACAATAGTGTGCTACATGATCTGAACAGGAAAAAAAGAAAGAAAAGAAAACCCATACAAGATGCAGATTGATGCTTCGGGAGTGAAAAAACTCCCAAAACCAGATAATAAAACCAATGGCCAAGTTAAGTGCAGCATTAATACACTCTGCATGTCAAATGATTAGCAGGTTCCTAACAAGGACTAAGGTCAAGCTACAACAAATTTATTTTCCTAATTAAAAGGTTATTCAGGTCAAACCCTACATTTAACTCTATTTGCATTTGGCTGTTTCAGCTATGTTTCACTATATGCAAGGACAGCCAGAAATTCATCTCCTGCTCTTGAGATTAACACAAAGGTTGGGAGGTCTCTCCTCCTGAAATGTAATTCCATTAAATAAATCCAAAAGGGATCTTGCTTTTGGTGATCCTGAAATGCCTCTGGACATCCCCTCCCCTGGGTTGCCAGGCACCACAGGGGGGACGGAGACCTGGAAAGCATTTGCTCAGGTTGAGGTTTTTTTCCATGCTGAGGACACAAAATGGAAGTGAAGATTTGATCCAGACTTGGAGGAGTGCTGTTTTTCTGTCTGCCAGAAATGTCCATCTGGAGCCTGCTGAAAGTACTTTGCCAGCATGGGAGAAACCCATCCTGTATCCAGGCTCTGGATACGGCCACAATATTTGCTATTAAGATTGGTGCAAAGCTCCACACCTGCCTGGACAGCCAATTAACCCCAATTATTAATGCAGCCCAGAACTTGGCCACTGGAAGGTGGACAATAATCATAATGCCAAAATATCCCCTTCTCCCTCAAAAAAGAAAAGAAAAGGGACAGTAGCCACTTTCTGCCAACTTCCCCAGGTGGATCCCCATCAGCTGCCACCCATGCAAGACCGGCAGCGCCAGATCTCACCAGCATCAACATTCCCAATAAGGTGCATGTCTGCAAGGTGCTGCTGGGGGCAAAGAAGCTTCCTGGGACACAGTCACATCCTCCTGTACTGCCCTGCTAGAGTGTGTGGGAAGGAAGCCATGGTACACAAGGAAAGAAACCCAGCTGCAATCACTGGACTGGCACAGGCCAACAACTGTCCAAGCTGCTTTGGGTTCAGGTGGGAAAGCGGGATGCAGAACTGGGCTGAGAATCACTTTGGTGCAACTGCCTCTGATGCTCACCACTAGCGCATGGGGCGGTGGGAGGAGAGGTGACGGCTGCTTTGAGAAAAGGGGAGTGGAAGGAGGACGTGTGTGCAATATAACAAGGCTTGCAATTCTAGCACTAACCACTGGACACGGATACCGAAGATTACCTGTGACAACTAGCTATCCTTCTACTGCTGCTGCTCCTTCCCCCACTTCCTGATCTGATTCTGCTTCAGTTTGGGAAGCCATGGCTGTTTGGCATGATGTCCAGTGCCGACTCTCCCACTCCAGTCCTCACTCAGCCATGGGGTGATTCTGCTTTAGGTCATACAGTGAGGTCTGGAAATCATGTTAGGCACAGACCAGCTCTGCACACCAGGGAGCACCTGCTTTCAGATCCTTCAGAAAGCTATTCAATGGCAGCTCATTTGCTTTACTAAACTGAAGGTTCAACGACCTCTGTGGAAGGAGTAAAAATGGTTTAAAGAGTGCAAAAAGAGTATGTGTGTGTGTAGAAATTCTGAATTGTCTCCACAAGAGTCTTTCTCCAGGCAGAACTACAGCCCCACCAGCGTGTCTTACAGCCCCTGTCCCAGTGCAGCAAGAGCACAGCCAGCAGGCTTCCCACTGTCACCTCTGCTGCAGGTCTCCAGCCTGCACCAGGAGCACCTGGGCTGGCAGGTCTGTGACCTGGTGTGTGGGCCCCACACCTCTCACAGGACTGAGAGTAGGAAGGTGAAGGCTGGCTCAGCTGGCTTGATGTCACCAGCCTGGTGAACCCTCACCCTTACCCTCACAATCATCAGGTGGATGAAGAGGAATCCCAGCCTGCCTTCTGGCTCACACCTCACCCTGTTCATTGGATTTCCCACTGGTCTGATGTTTGCTTGGCGTTTGTCTCAGGACACAGACAGCTACAAGCCAAACACAGCTGCTACCACAGCTTTTCCATGCAAAGAAACTGAGCAAAGAAACCTGTGAACTGGGGATGGATAGAAAGGTGATAAAAAACATAAGATCTATCAAGAAGAGTGCTTGACTGAGTTTTTCAGCTCTTTCCATGTGTCTGTATTACATCTCTCAACAAACTGTGTCTCCCAAATCACAGAGGAAGGTGGGCAACAAATGGAGTCGCAGCTTATTTGGGCAGCAGAAGCAAGAAGACAGCTTAGACAAAGAGCAATGCTTCCTGGAGAGCTCACCTGAGACAGATGGATGAGCAACTAGGGGAGAAATGCTGCTCTGGGAAAGTAAAAATCTCATCAGGTAACAGGACTTATCTCAGCATGGCCTCTGGGTGACCTTTTCTTTTCCTAGTGCCTACTGTGCTGCTTTCCAGAGACATGTCTGAGACAGTCATATTTTAATGAGGTTTATTTTGTACTTTCCAGTCCTTGATCCAATCCCAATGCCCATATCATGAATTTGTTACTGTGGAAATGGCTCAACAGACCAGGTGCCATCAGTGAGGTGGGCACCTTCCAGAAGTAAATTCATCTTTTGTTGGAGCAACTTTTTAGAGAAAGCAAAAGGCTTGAAGTCACCACAAGTGGCAAATGGGTCTGGGAAGCAATGGGAAAAGCTGCTCTCCACAAGCAGCAGGGAAAGGTACAGCCTGTGCTGCCTGTGTCCATGCTGCTCTGTGACATATCTTGGCTGCATGGCTGTGTGGGCCACAGTGCTCTGCTCCGTGTAATTCCAGTTAGTCCCAGCCTTTGCCTCCCCACCAAGCTGTCAAAGCAGTGCTCAGCCAAGCAGTATTTAGCTGCTTTCATCCTGGGATTGCCAGCAATGTCAAGTAGAGCAAAGGAAGGGATGTAGCTGTAATTTGTTGGGAAGAAATGCAGTGGCTCAGCTGCATAAATACAAGGAGTTAAGATATGGATGACAGCCCCTGTGAGAAAGCTCTATTAATCTTCTGTAGGTAATTCCAGGTCACAGAGTCTCCCTCTATGCTACATTGCTGGCCCTTCTGCTTCAGAACTTGCATGGTTCTGTAACATGTTTGTGTCATGAGATGTGGTTCAAGGTTTGGAGCAATCCCTCTCACAGCAGTCTTGAGAGGAAGTGACAAGGATGCCTAGAACTGAAAAGCACCTTAAAATGAAGACCCTTCCATGCCTTCCCAGCTAGCCCATCTCACCCTGTGGCACTGCCTCTCTATGCAGATGCTTCTTTTGAACATGCAGCCCAAGCTTGCTGAGCTGAGCAGCAGCCAGGTCACAAAGCCTACTGCATTCTAGGTAAGAGGGGTCAAATCCCACGTGGGTTTGAAGTGAAAATGGAAAAGTAAAGGAGGAGCCCAGGCAAAACTACCAGTTTAATTGCTGAGATGGTTGCTAAAAGCAAGAGCATGAAACTGCTGTCAGAATATCCCAAAAATGAGCCTTTCAATGCTCTGTTCCCCCTCATCAGTACTTGCCATCCCAAGCTGCACTTCTAAATTCCTTAATTCTGCTATCAATGGATGGTGCTGTTGGGCCAACAAATCTTCTTCCATGTTCCCTCCAGCAGCAGGCAGGCAAACTTAGAAGCCAGTTGTATGAGAGTCAGCTGCCAAATGACTGGAAAACACATCCTTGCCAAACATCTTCTTCCATAGTTGTTTAATCTCTCCACTAACCTTCACCCCACTGCCTTCTGGCCCGTGTGAGCAACATCACCAACTGGTAAAACAGAGGGAAAGCAGAGTATTACTCTGAAAACAGGCATTAAATTTCTGTAGCATAGTATTTACATCCTGCTTGCAGAGCTATCCTATCACTGGTGCCTGTCATACACTCAGAAACGTCCATGCAGGGTGGTGGTCCCATCTTGGGAAGACAGGTTTCTCCTCCATGCTACAGAAGGGAATGGACATTGAGAGGGGATGTGACCTGCCTGAGGTTAGAGCAAATACCAAGTGCCAACAGCAGCAAGGGACCCCAGATCTCATTTCTGTGTTCTCACAGTCCAGCAGACCTTCCGGGGTTGTATTTGGCTGCAGTGCCAGCTCAGGCACATGGTGTTTCTGGTGTGTACATCTGAAAGTGAGCTTTGCTCCCTGCTGGCATCATCACTGCACTGAGACAGATTAACTCAGACAATTGGGATCTGCTCTAGGCCAATATAGCACTTGGCAATCTTTCTAGTTACTTGTTTTCCTTTTCCTGTTGTTCCATCTGTTGCCCAGCTGGGTCCTTCCTTTCTTCAAAAGCATCTTCATGTTTCTGTTGAGTCACACACAGGGCACTGCACTTTTTAAGCCTCCTGCGTGCTCCGTACAGCTTGCAGGCCAGCCCAAGGACAGACTGTGCATGGAAAGGGAAGGATCCTGCTCAGGACTGCAGACGTGTGTCAGCCAGCACACAGCTGAACACAACGGGCACGTCCTTTTGGGACAAGAGCTAGCGAGACAAACCAAAGGAGCTGAGTCCATCCTGTCCATGGGGGAGCTGCCTGAAGTCCCTTTCAAAGCCCATGCAGCAGGCCTGGTCACCTGCCCTTGCAGTCCCAAGGCATCTGCAGGCAGGACAGCCAGGAGAGCACCGCAGACCCAGCGGCCAAGCGCACACGTTAGGGGCAGGCATGCAGCAATGTCAGATATGATCCCGTGACTCTTCCAAGGGTTGACTTCAAGATGTGTCTGATCAGACATCAGATGAGCCTCCAGGATGGTCGCCTGGGCATCAGCCTGCTTTCAGCTGAAGTTTATTTATAAACACCACAAAAGCAGACAAGACCACGCCATCTCCTACCTCAAAATTAGGAGGATGTTCCTCCTCACAAAGACGTCTGGAAATGTGGAGTTTGCAGACCAGAGAGACAGAACAGAGTGCTGACACCCTGGAGTTCAAATCCAGCTCACATTAAAGGATATTATCTGATATTTTGTCAGATTAACATCTGATAAAAGGAAAGGACTTGCTTTAACTCAGGTAATTTGGTGACTGACATTACGTAAAATCCTAACAAAAAGCCACTCTGGCATTAAGAGGCATCAAATGCAAATTCCTTTGTGGAGGCACCAGCATCAATATCCTTAAATCCTATTTTCATGGTAATTTTGATGGACAGTGAAGCAGCATCTAATACTCCGTGGTGTTCCTCCCCTGGGTTTTCAGTACAACTTTGGATTGAAATTGGGGTCTGAGAAGACCATCTCATTTTGTGCAAAGACCAGAGCAAGGAACAATTTTCTTTCTTGCCTGCAGTCTGCATTTTGGAGAATGCCCAGCAGCTCTGCAGATTCTAGGGCTTCAAAACGCTGCAATAGCAAGTCAGGATCCGTGCTCTTTCCTTTTGCCCTCCCCTGGCCATGGTGGCAGGCTGGTCTAAGGAGAGCAGTGCCAGAATAGCCATGACATACACCTTCCCAGGAAGTAACCACAGCATAACCTCCAGCAAGGGTTGCTTGAGCAGAGAGATTGGACCAGATGACCCCACTGTGGTCCCCTCCAACCTTCTGTGACTCTGTGATTTTGAGGGCATAAGGAAAACCTGCTGGTTTAAGCAAGGGTCTGAACACAACAGACCAGACAGAGGGAACCAGCCTAATCTGTAGTTAATACATACCAGTGGGCAATCCATCATATTCCATAACGAGCCAACAAACATCCACAATCATAACCTGCTTCAGAGGCTGCAGTTCAGAAGCATTAGTGTTCAATTTTCTGTGATAGCCAGATGTGCATTGCCTTAATCGACTCAACCTTTCTGATAATGACTCTACACAGGTAACTACTTATCCCCACCCTTTCTACTTTATTCCCCTAATAAAATATATGAACACAAAGCATAGAGAGGAGAAGCCAAAAAATTGCCATTTTATGGTCCTGTACTGGTCATGCCAAAAGAGCTGTCTGTGCAACCAACTCCTTCAGTGCACAGGCAAAAACGTGTGGCTTGTGCTTCAGTCTGTATTTGGAGGAAGGACCGGCTGTTAACATTTGAATTCATCTCCCTCCCTCCTTCCCTAAAGGGTTGTGCTAGAAGCAGATGCACATCACACAATGCAAAGGGCTGAAGGCAGTTGCAGGGTTGAGGAATGCCTCAGGGCACATGGCAGGCAAAAAAACCCAACAACAGGGGCAATAAAAGGACTTGGTCATGGTGCCATGGGACACTGGTTATCACAGAATCATGAAGGTTGGAAAAGACCAACTGTTAATCCTGCACTGCCCAGTCCACCACTAAATGAAGGTCTGTCCCTCAGAGGAGAGGCCTTAACCCTGGGAGGTAACAGTGTCAGCAAGACTCATTCTGTCCTCAACTGAACAGAACAAATGCTCAGTTATGGCTGGACTCAATGATCTTAAGGGTCTTTTCCAGCCCACAAGATTGCAGGATTCTACAATGGCAGCATGATGGAGACCTGTGGGACCTGCAGTCCTCCATGGCTGACTCAGGAAAGCAGATGACTTGTTGCTCTAGCAGGCACACCGAAATGCTCCGAGCTCCTGAGCAAGGGCTGTGGGAAAGGCTGAGCATGTGCTGCCTGGCTGGAAGGCACAGAGACTGACCCAGGAGGGTAAATGCAATGAAGACATTCTATGGTACCAATGCTGAACTGCAGGATAAATATGATGAAGACATTCCATGGTACCAATGATGAACTGCAAAGTCCCTGTTTAGAAGAGTTAAGATTTAAAGAGCCTTGGTCATGTCCTGTAAGATTTGGTTTGACTATGGTGTTTCTATTAGGTTTTGACTACATTCCCCATTATAAAAGGACTCCTTAAGGAATGTTATCCCCTTTTATCCTTCTCTCTACACAGCATTGGTAAAGTGCTTCCCCTACCTCCAGACAACTTGCTAACCTCATTTCAAGCTGTATTTTGGAAATATTCCCCCTCAGCACTACCAGGTGGTGAGAAAAGGATGAATTCACTTGAGGAACACTATTCCTACAGAAGCTGACAAGTTAACCAGCACTTCTGCATGAAGAGGCAGGGATGCCCAGTAAGCAGCACCACTCAAGTCATCTTTCTATGGCCTGGAGCCAGGGTGGCAGCATGCTGTTTTAAGGAGGGGGGATAAGCACAGCTTTAAAAGTTGCTAGTGAATAGTAAAGCCCAGGAATCTTGTGTACCTGCTCTTTCACTCATGCTATGGATTGTATTGAGCTTTGCACTGCACAAAGTGAATCCCCAGGAATGTTAAACAAACCTCTTCCTAATAATGAATAGGACTTAAAGGTTCAGCTCACTTCATGCAGATTTCAGATGGAGGATGTGTCTCTTGTGGTGGAACTCAGGTTCTGCCTTGTGACTCAGAAATTGTGATGGGAAGCTCAGAACTGCCCTCACATTTTCCGTTCCCCAGGCTACAATGCAAGTGATGACCCAAGGCAGGTGGTCCCTCCTCCTGGCAGGGCAGGAAAACACACAGTCGTGCCTGTGGCAAAAGATTTCAACACTGAGAAAAATGCCAGCCCATCCCTTGCAGATGCTGAAGCCATCAGTGTAAGACTGGCCAGGGAGAGGGCACATTTCCTAACTACAACGTGATTCTGCTTTCAAAACACTCTGCTGGTGAACTGGGCAACTCAGACCAGCAACCTAATGTTACACCAGGTTTCCTGACTATTCCAGCACCAAATAAACACATCTGCTATGACATGGGACAACTCTTAACACAGACCATGTCTGGTTCACAAGTGGGCAGAGATGGGATAAACTGTACTTTCCTTTAATGGGTATTTTTCAGCCGAAGCTGTTCATAACCCTTCTGTTGCTGACAACTTCCCCGACAACGTCACCACCACACAGATGACTTCAGCATTAATGAATCTCTCCCACAGGCACCAAGAGACATACGATCAAGAGATTATCAAGAGTCAAGCACTGTTAAAATGCACTTTCTTACACTAGCTTTTCTATCATTGATGTTCAGACTGTACAGCTCTAGTCTTGTGCAGGACTCACTACTTCTTAGTTGAACAAAGTTTAAGATTTTTGGAAAGAGACGGGTTGCACGGGAACTAAGTAAAGGCTGAAGTCAGAATACATGACTGAACTAAACTCATGAGTATGATTGGTATTCCTGGGCAAGGAGTGAATCCCTGAAGTGCACAGATGGATTGCACATCGAATCTGATGCGTTTGGTGATAATTTAATGTGGCGCTAAGGGTAGATTGCATTGGCTTTGTGACAAAACAGCTCTAGCTAGTACTGACTCACAGTGAAATGTCACCTATTTGTCCCTTTTGCAAGTGAATGAATTGTGTCATGCTAGTCCTGGCTAGCCTTGCCATAAGAAAGGATGCCCTGGTCCGTTCCCATTCCTGTGCCCCAGTTATAGTATCATTTTGGTTATGTAAATGAAGCAGGTTTAGTGAATGAATTAAGAACTGACTTCCTCTCATTGGTAAAACATTTTGATACCTCCAACTCATGCTAATCTTGCAGATGGACTGGTTTCAGTGGGCAGGATCACCTGAAGCCCCATCTGAACCCTTCCCATTCTGGAAAAGACACTTTACAAAATATCCCCAGTGCCTAAACAAATCAAGGAGGTATCTCTGGACCCCTCTGCATTCGCTCTCCAGACCAGTCAGTCCTGCCAGGCATTACCTGGCACTTTGAGCAACTTCTCTTTTGTTTAACCATAGTTTAAAATAACTTATCCACCAATCATAAAATGAATTTTTTGGTTTCTCCTGGCTCCATGAACACAAAGAGGTGCACGTCCTACCATAGGAGGAAGCAATGGCTGTTAAGTTTTACAGTTATAGTGGAAAGCACTGATCACAGCCTGCCGGCCTCACTACTGGATGTGACAGGCGGTGGAGGAGGTGGCTTGGCAACACATGCAGGTAGGGTTGACCGATTTAGGGGGGATTAGGTCGAGGTCCTCGTCATCCGGGATCTCATCTAACCGGTACCCATCCTTTAGCAGCTGGATGTTCAAGTCTTGGTTGATCTGCTACAGACAAAGAGACAAACAGTCAAACACTCAAGACTTCTTACTTCTCGTGGTCAGAAGATCAAGAAGGTCCCTTATTCTGGAATATATTTCCCCATCATTAACAGCTGGTCCACTAATGAAACAGTCCTACTTTCTGAGCACAGGTGTGGAGAGGGTTGCCTTCTATACTGGCTTCTTGAGAATAGAAATATCTAGAGTGAAATACGCTATTTTACTCTGGAATATTTTTCCCTTAAGACAAGCCCTCATTTAAGGTAATTTAATAATAATATTTATTGGCAGCTCAGTCTGGGGCACATTATAGCAGTTAAAAGATGGTAAAGTTTGGCTCTTTGTGATCTCAGTTCTAAGTGCTGGATGAACAACACTTCCTCAGGGCACAGAGATGGCTCAGATCATCTGATGTGATCCCTGCTCTTGGCTGTTTCCCTGTGTTTCAGAAGTATTTTGCCCAGAAAAGGATACAGGGGGAAAGAGTTCCCAGTGGCTTGTGTGCAGAATGGCTGCTCAGCACCCTGGATATAAAATCAGATTCTGCAGAAGCAGTAGCCAGAGGCTGAGCAACTAATTCATTAAACAGTTTGGAAATATAACCAGAAACAATGCAGGATTAACAAGCCTGGGCTTCCTGCCTTTTCTCTTTGAAAGGGCAAGAGTTCACATCTGCAAGTTCTCCCTGGAATTTCTGCCTACTCCAAGTAAACAGACACTGGGTGACCCTGACCACTCCAATAACTGGAAATCACAGCACACCCTCAGATCCTTTATTTGTGTCCTTGGCAACCATACATTCGCTGAGCTGCTGTGACAGACAAGATGATGCTTTTGCACCACACGGGCCAGTGCTTTAGGACTAAGCAGAACTGGGAAAAGCCTGAGTGAAGCCAAAGGTACCTGTGAAAACAGCTGATGGGCAGATCCCTGTGCCATGGCAGTGTAGGTATGGACAACTGGATCACAAGGAAAAAGCAACAGGACACAGCTTCTACCATAGCCCCTTCCAGACTCACAGTCTACACCACCAGTAAATTGGTTGTGTAGCCATTTCTGGCACGGCAAGGCCACTATATGCCATTTCTGGCTGCTCTATCATTTGCATTCATGGCAAGGATGCCAGGAGAGAGTATAACTCACCTCAGCTGATGAGTATCCCGAGGAGGAATATCTGGACATATCAAAGTCATCATCACTGCAGGGAAGGACAAGATACAGCAAGAAGGAAATGGTTAGATTAGACGTGTATTCCCTGCTTAGCCATATTTTTCTCATGCCATGAAACTGTTCCTGAGGCACAGAGAAGTTACATCAAGGAAGCCTGTAGAGCAACTTTCATCTGTGACCCTCAGATCTTTCCATCACAGTGCTTCTTTACTCACAGCTCCTTTGACTTGTTCACACACACATGCCTGTCATGGCATAGGCCAAAGTGAACAGTGGAAGAAAGAGTGTGAGCAAGAGCAGCTTCAGCAGGAGTTGGCTCCAGGGCTGCCCTCTGTCATGAAAACTCGTCTACACCACCATGCATAATCACCTTTTTAACCCTTTGCATACCTGTCCGTATCCAGGGCTACCAGTGGCTTCTCATCTGGACTCTGGTCTAGCGAAGAATAGCCCTTATTGGGAACGACGAGCCTGAAAGAATTAAATGTTGTCCATTAACCACACAGTAAAGCTCAGTAGCATAAACTACCTAGGATAAAGCCATATGACAGCTGGCTTTCCCCATGTCATTTCCTTGCAAGCCCTCCCTTACTGATGAAGATGTTCAAATGGGTGCAATTCAGAGGAAGCAAGCTCTGTCTCTGGGTAGCTTAGAGTAGTTTCACAGAGACAAATGCTGGATGGGCCTTGGGAACATGCTCCTCCCTGGAAGAAAAAAAAACCTTTGGGACACTGTACTTCATGCTGCTGAACCTGTTTGGCTAGCACTGCTTGTCATACCAGATTGCTCCTTTTCCTGTTGTTTTCTTTTTCCTGGCAATGATTACATGACACTAGCAATAAGTACCTTCCTAGAGGAAGGCAGAGGCTCAGTGATCCTGCTATTCTATTATTGAAAAATCAGGGATGGGATGTGGTCTTTCTCCCTGAGTCCCTATCCAGGCCCCCAGCAACACAACACTTATGAGGTCTCAGTCCTAAATTTAGGAGTATTAGAAATATGAGTTGCTGGGTCCAGTGTAAGAGACCAGTCAGATTAGCACTTCTTAAATTTGTAAATTTTGTAATGAATTTCACTTCATCAATAGTGTTACAAAAGCTGAGGATGACTTTGCACCTTTAATTGTCCGAGAGATTTTGTGAAATGGAATACAGGCTTCAGAGGTTCTAGGATAAGGAAAATATGTTAATACAATGGTATCTACTTCACAACAGAGTTCTTTCATCCAAAAAACTTCACGAATACTCTGGTTCAAATTTAAAATAAGATTAAGCAAACTGAGCAAATGGAACAAGATTCTTTGTTCAGTAGGTAGGAACCATAAGAGTGAAGAAAAGCTTCTCATTCCATGGATTAACTCAGGTTTTCTCCCAAACGCTCTTTAACAACACACCATGATGCAAAATGATGCTTCACTGAGAGTTTGAGAAATACAAATCTAAAGATGATAATCTGTCTAATCCATGCTCCAACAGCTCTCTAACTTCCTGAAAGTGTTTTTCTGCTTCTGCTCAGAAAATCGCAGCAAGCCATTAACAGTTTCAGGGATACAAAGTCCTGGCAGGCACTGATGATGGGCAGGCTCAAGGAGAGTAAAATATATCAAATGTTATAACAAAGCAAATATATGGATTCACAGTTAATTATATTTTCTTGTTTTGTTCATTGAAATGTAAATTAAATAAATTAATTATAAAACTGATGCAGAATTTCCAACCTCCTGCACCAAGTGACTAGAGAAAATGGGATCGACTTCCAAAATTCAATAGCCCTTCTCACAGCATTAGGATAGTCCTCCTCCTGAAGTATGTAGGCAGGAAGTCAAGAAGCAAAGATGTCTGGAACTGAAGCTGAGATCTGGCAGCAGCAGCTTGCCCATATAGATATCAGAAGTACTGACTTCCATTTTCGCTCTTCAGTTTTCCAGTCCCTGCTCCATATATATTCACTGACAGTTGTTATTATATCATCAGTGAACAAAGCACTCTCAGGGGATCTAGCAGAAGAATCTTTTGTGGTGATATTTACTTCATGAAAAAGAAAATCAGTACATCTTTTTCTTGAGAAATGTCTTTTTCTTTAATAACACTGAACTTCAATTTTACTGCAACAGACAAAAACTCTTATGATGTCTCTGCCCACGATTTAAGTCTTTCCCTCACATTCTGATTGACCTTATTGTCAATCCCCACTGTCCTTGGAATAAAGTCAGGTAGCAGTGGTAGCTGCTTTTGTCCACAGCTGTCCCAGTATAAGCTTCTCGTCTTGGTGGTTTTGCTTAACACGAACCATGTTACGCCACAAATACGAGTTTAGGTTATCCTGAGTGGCCTGTAGCATCCAGCTGTGCCCAAGTAGTGTGGATAGTGTTGTGGGCTCTGCCTGTGCTCACAGGAAGTGTGCAGCATCACCCCAACCTTGTTCACATTTTATTTGCTGTTAGGGAGACTGAGTGTGTTACAGATACACCACTTTCACCTCTAAGGCTGGCTCTGCCCTTTTCCCAGGGAGAACTGAATGCTGAAGGCAACCTTGTACTAGAGGCTGGATGTCAGAAATCCGTAGAGATAATACAGAATAACAGAGGCCTTGGGAAAGGAGGACGAGGTGGAGAGCTGGGAGAGACACTGTGATTTGCCTGCGCAAAGGAAGATACTTGATGAGAACAGCAGAGGTGTTGAAAAAGGGGAAATGCTGTTAGCTTATTCTGCTGCAGAGACCAGATGAAGCCAACAGCATACCTGGAAACTTGGAAGTTTTGCAGTGCAACCTGCTGGAATACCTCCTGTTACACTGCACTGTGAAAAGCTGTTTAAACAGTCTTGTGGCATTTCTGCCTTCCTTATGCTGCCCTGTCTGTGGCAAGACAGACTGAAGCATTCTGAGATGCTCAGACGTTCAGAAGTGGAATAAAACTGAGCTGGCTGTTTGAAATCTTTTGTCAATAGGTGTCACTGCTCTGCTCTTCCCTTCTCAAACCTCTCCCCTTTTCATCAGCAGCTCGGAAACAACAACCTCTACAAGGAGAAGTCACTAATTTTACAGGTAGGCACCTGTCTTTATCCCATCTTCTCTCCCTTACCATCTTCCTCCACTAATTTCAGTGTTTCTAAATCTCTCAATTAGCAAATCTGCTACCATCCCTCTTGGGATGCTGGCATGCAGCCTATTGCCAAAAGAAACCAAGCCTTCCCAGCTTGTATTTGGAAGACAAGGAGGAAGAGTGGGCATGGAAAAACCCAGCTGAGAACAGTTGCTGCATTTCTTGCTGCCATGAAGGGTCTGGCTCTACTATAAGGTCTCAATGACCAAACACAGAGAGGAAGTAAGGCAGCACATTCCATGAATATTGCAGGGGCTTACAAATAAAAGTTGATGAAGTCCTGGTATGATTTATGACTAGTATTTTGGGTTGTAGGAATTAATGTGAATAAGAAACCTCATCTCTCAGTTCCTCTGTGTATAGACAGCTCTGACCTGCAGCTCCTGCTCAGCTTAAATTATGGCAATCCAGGCAATTTCCCCCTTCATCAGTAAACACCCAGCATTCAACAGATTCTTCTGACATTTTAAATGAGGATCTCCACTCAAAACTGCCACCTTTCTAGCAGGATGTAATCCTGTGGTCTCAGGGGCCTCCCTCCCTTCTGGATGTAGGTAAGTAATATATTGGTGTACTGAAGTTTCTGTGGAAAAAAATTGAAATACTCTAAAAGAAAGTATTCATCAAGGAATGTCTTTGTTTACAGCAGTTTGTAGCACTGTCTGATAATATCATACAGAGATGTGCCAGAGCATCTCCAGTAAAGCATGACCATGCTGTTCCAAGGGTGGAGGAGGTGTATAGCAAGGCACAGAGAGATAGATTATTTACAAGCCTTCATTAAATCAGTCAGTATGGGGAAAGGCTCAGTACTACTGTGATAAAAGCAGCCAAGGCAGAACTAAGGTCTAAGCCAGTTCGTGTTACATGAAGCAGCTCTGTACCTCTCCCAGTGGCAGGATTAGGTGTTACATGAGACTACCCAGAACCTGCAAGACAGCTCTATCAAACCCCTGATTTCAACCAGGCCAGGCTGCCTCTGCCTGGTCCTGGGCTGGTGCTGGGCTCAGCTGTCCCTGCATCTTATCAGGGCATGCAATGCAACGCAGCACAGGGCACTTGGGCCTGTGCCAGCTCAGGGAAGAGACATCCCTGCTCTTGCAGCATGTTTGGCAGTAGGCAATTGGCTACCAACATCATCCTTGACCACCCCAATTCCCCAGGAACTGCAGCTTAGAGAACAGCTATGAGTACTTTTCCAGTCCTTTACCTTGTTCGTGCCATCACGTTGTTCTTCTTGGGCTGCTGATTCACTGGGCTTCCCATGTTGCCATTCTTCAGGGAGCCCTTCCGAGCCAGCTCCCTCTGCTTCTCTGCATATGAGACACAAAGGGCAAAAGCAAAATCAGGGCAACAGCCTAGCTGGCCACCATACAGCTACAGAGATCCAGATTTGATAGTGGCAAAAGGCATACCAGAATTAATAGCAAAGGAGTAAATGAGCTCTACATCTCTTTTGGAGGGACACTGCAAAGGCCAGATGAGCTGTGTTACACTTTCTTTGAGGTCACCAGGTACTAAAACTAAGGTACATTCACTCACAGCAGCTTCTTGACATCAACACACTAAGATCTTGGTCTCTAAGGTCTTGGAGTTTCTGGATGAAACCCAGTGGAGGCAAGGACAGAGACCTGGTCCCTGTCTGCAGCTGGTTGCTGCATGATACTGTGCTGTACTAATATGGCTGTGCCTCCAGCAAGGATAGGAACCCAGGGATGATGGGTTTTCATACAAACTGATATTAAATTATCTGATTCAAAGTCTTGCCTTATATCCTGTGGAAAATCAATTGGTCTGAGTCACCAATTAGTTGCAGAAGTTGGGCCAACTACCCCTGTCTTATCCTGCAATGCCAGATGAGGTTTGTAGGTAAAAGCTGAGCATGGGGCCAGTATGGTAGGAAAAGGACTGCTTAAAAACATTCTCCAGAGTGTGAGAAAATGTTGGAAACTACTTTTGTGGCATACCTGAAAAATATGGATATACCAGACTGCTTGCTGAGGAACCTGAATAGTGAATTTGTTTTACTTCTGCTTCTCCTACAGTGTGTGAATTGTACTGATTTTTTTTTCCCCAGATTTTATTTCCCCTTGGAGAGAAAAGCAGCTTTTCCTGCTTGTTGTGGAAAAGAAACGTGCTACTTTGTGAGCAAGTTCAAGGTGGGCCACTCTGTCCCTTCCTCACAGGTCAGAGCAGGGTAACACATGCCCAAGGCTGCCTTATTTGAGGGAGAAGTAAGCAGCAGAGATGCCTAGAGATTGTGATGATGAGGAACACGGAGAGAAGAGTACATATTTCTACAAACCATGCCCACCCCTGCTCCTGATGACAGCAGGGGCCAATAAATGCTCATGGAACTTGGCAGGAAAGGGATGGGATTAATAACTCCCTCTGGCATGAACAGCTAAGAGACTGATAAAGGATTGAAGTCAGAACTTTAAATCAGAGAAATTTCTCAGTACTGGAACTTTCAAATGCATTGATTATCTCAGTCTCCATAATAAAAGCATGGTATTTTGCTGCTTGAATTTTGCTGTCCAGAGAGGGATAAAGTGGGGCTCTGTGGAGGCAAACATTTACAATACTAAATACAACCCAATTTCCACCCATCTGCTTCAGAAACTCCAGCACTGACCACAAATACACAGCACTGAGACAAGCTGCCAATGCTTTAGGAGGCTGTATAACTCACAAAAGACACCTGACTCAGAAACAAGGATACAGGTTTCATTTTCTTTTGTGGCACTTAGGCCTGCCTGAGCCTTTTAAATGAACCAGCACTCTACTTTTTATTGATCCCTCAGCACAAGCACTAATGCTGTTCTCTAACTCAGATTACTCATTCAGCTGATGAACCTGGACTTTCACTAACCGTGTTTTCCTCCAGTAGGTCTCTCTGTGACCATTTCTACTCTATTACTGATTCCTATTGCAACGTGTGGGTCAGAATGACATGAGCTTTTCTATTTAGTCCTTTCACTTATTTAGTGGCTTGGAGTGAACAATCCCAATGCAATGTGAGTGTGGTAGGAAAATCTACGCTTATATCCACAGCCAAATTTCTTAAATGTGAATCAACAGTTCATCTCCCCGTTGAATACTATGAAGTGTGAGTCCCTGGTGGTCAAAATGCAATTTTGTCTCCGAGGGGGAGTGGGAGTTCTGCTCAGTCCCAGTGTGTTAGAACAAGCTCCTGGAAGGTGGTGAATGTGTGCAGAGTCACATCAGGTTTTAAGGCATGGAAACCTAGTATTTGAGCCTTACAAGTGTTATGAACTACTGCTACTTCCATCATCACCCAAGGGAGCTTTTGGGTGCCAATCCCTTGCAGTAATTCTGAGCTACAAATTCCAGCCTTGCACACCAACCATCAGGTCTATCAGAACAGAGGATGGAGGTTTTCAGTGCCCATTTTCTGTGTGGTGTTTCCTCCTGGTGTAGCCAGTGGAGTCTGTGAACCCAACTTCTAGGCAAACGAGCTCTTTCCCTGGCTTTCAGCTCATTCGGTTTTCCCAGACATTTGTTCAAAGGCCAAGTTCCCAAACTCTGACTACCTGAGTTCCTTTTAGAAATGTGTCTGACTTAGGCACTTCTAAAGATGTTACTTTCAGGGTCCAACATTTTAACAAACACCTCTAATTTCACAAATTAAAGCCGTTCTCACAGAATCTGCAATGAGACACGTAACCAGCAGAGTAAAGACAAGGTGAGAGGAGGAAGGGCTGAGGGAGCAGAGATGACTGGGAGGGGACCTCATCAATGTCTGTAATTATCTGAATGGAGGGTGTCAGAGGACAGAGCCAGACTTTGCTTGGTGGTGCTGAGCAACAGGACAAGAGGCAACAGGCAGAAACTGTTGCACAGAAGTTCCACCTGAGCAAGAACTTTACCACGTGGGTGACTGAGCAGTGGAGCGGATTGTTCAGAGAAGGTGTGGAGTCTCTCTCACTGGAGATATTCCAGAACCATCTGGATACAATCCTGTGTCATGTGCTCTGGGATGACCCTGCTTGTGGAGGGAGGTTGGACCAGATGACCCTCTGTGGCCCCTTACAGCCTTACCTATTCTGTCACTCTGGGATTCTGTGATTCTGCTAACAGGTAGTCCTGCCAAACACAGAGAAAATGGAACATACAAGAACAAATGAAAAAAGGAGAAGACTGATTTCCAGTCAGTGGTTATTTCATGTTTGGTGAGTTTGCTGTTGGATGAAAAGCTAATACAGCAGAGACAGAAGGTGAAGGACAGAGATTCAGAGATGGGAAAGTCAGAATGAAATAAAGCTGCTCTCCAGCTACTTCAGAGAAATCACTAATTACTGGCAATGTAACAGCAGAGCCCCAGTGATTCTCTTACATGGCATTTGCAAGTATTTAAAATAAATTGTTTAGCTTTCATTTCATTTGGCTGTTCTACTTTTTAAAATTGTACCTAGTGAAATACTCAAATTCACACATGGTTTGTCATTCCCCCTCCCGTGAAACAGTTACAGGTGACCAAGAACACTGTGAGTACAGGTGTGATGGCTTGCAGTGCCAACAGCAACCATCAGCAATACCAGCAGGGTTGCAAGAGCTGGGGGAGTGCAGCTTTAACCAAATCCAACTTCCTTCTGGCTTTTCATAATTTTCCAGAGACACTTTGTTGAAGAAGCAGGATAGAGCAGGGGAGGTTGGGAGGGCATGAAGCAGCCTGCATGTGCCTTTAACGTTAAGAAATAGGTTCAGTTAGGGGTCTGAAGATCCTGTCTGATCATTAGCAAGGTTACTGTGTTGGGTGATGTACTGGGTTTGTGTGCAAGTTTTTGGTAGTGGGCAGAGGTAGGCTCTATGAGAAGCTGCTGGAAGCTTCCATATATCTGACAGAACCAATTCCAGCTGGCTACAAGATGGACCTGCCAAGAGGGCCCACCAGCAATGGTGGTAGAGCCTCTGCAATAACACAGTTAGGAAGGGGAGGAAAAAAACTGTAGAGGAGTGAAGATGTGTGAGAAAAACAGTACTGCAGACACTCAGATCAGCGTAGAAGGAGGGGCAGGAGGTGCTCCAGGCTCTGGAGAAGAGATTCCCCTGCAGCCCACAGTGAAGACCATGGTGAGGTTCCCCTGCAGCTTGTGGAGGTCCATGGGGCAGCAGAGATCCACCTACAGCCTATGGAGGATCCCACATCAGAGCAGGTGGATGCCTGAAGGAGCCTGTGACCCCGTGAAAAGCCCCTGTTGTCACTGTATTTTCACTCCTCTGCCCAGCTGAGTGATAGAGTGGTTTTGGCAGGCACCTGCTGTCCAGCCAGGGTCAGCACACCACAGGTAATCTACCTGGCTCCATGCTTGAGTGGAGCAAAGCAGCCTTGACTTCTGTTCAAGTGAAGATCTTGGAGAACACAGACAGCTGTGCTGTCAGTTAATACCACTATCCTGCTCTGAACAGCATGGGGAACAGCTTTTTGTCTGGATCTGCCAACCACATCACAACTTGCCCTTCCTTTCTTGTCCACCTTGTCATTTCATCTTTAAGACACTTTGTCCCCTTATGACATTAAAATCATTTAAAGAGAGATGAACCTGCTCAGTGAATAAACCACTGCCTTTGTGCCAGCCTCGCACCAGCCTGTGCCACTTGCTCACTCCATCTGAGCCACTCAGCATCTGCTCCAAGTGCTGTTTCAAGGTAAGCTCCAATGGTCACAACAGCCAAAGCAGCTCATGGAGCTTTCAGTAAGGCAGGACTAACACGTTAAGTATAAAGGAGCAAAGGAAATGCAGGCTGCAGGCACAACCAGAGCAACGCTCAGCCTTGTTCCCTGTCTGGCAATGGTGTCCTATTACAAGAGCCTGCAAAGGTCCTCAATAAGAAGGCGCCACAGTATGACCAGCACTCAGCAAACCACCCTTGTTCCAGTGTAGTTTCACCTGCCTGATCTAGGATGTGCCTTCAGGATGGATGGGCAGACAGCTGCACACTGACAAATGATGCACACCCCTACAGGGAGCCTTCTTTAGAGAGAAAGTCATGTCTAAATAGAGAGGGGCTGAATTCTCCCCTTATCATGGGAACAGCTGCAGCCCTAATGCATGATTTCAAGCACTGCTTGAAATGACTTAGTGCAATTTAAAATGGTTACCTGTTCAGCTGGCAGGATGCGTCTAGCTGCTTTATGATGAGGGAAAATAGTAATGGAGCATGGGAAGCAGAATGGACTTAACATGAATGTCTCTAAATTAAAAATTAGATTTGAATGCATCCTTAAAATTACTTCCCTGATTTCAGCATTGAAACAAAAGCATAACCAGTTTAACAACATCTTCCTGTT